GATCATCAACAATTAAACATTGTTGACATGATGATAAACTTAATATAAAACGTTCATTAAAACGTGGTTCTGTTTGTCGATGTAATTCTGTACGATAACGTGCATGAATATCCATTGTTAATGTATATAATTGTTTAAGTGAACGCATTGTTTGAAGAAGTAAAACAACTAAACCACCACCTTCAACTGTTTCAACTGTTCGTGCTAATAAATTTGGTGTTAATGCTTCGAAATCTTGTAAAACACACATTCCAAATGTTCGACCAAGAATTTTTGGTGTATCAGAATAGAATGTATAATGAATTTGTGTTGAAGAAAGAAAAACTTCAAATGGATTATCATCATCACCACCACCACCGCCGCTCGTTGATCCAGTTGTTGCTTGTCGTTTTTTCATTTGTTTCATACGTTTTTTACGATGACTAAAATAGAAAACATAGTTTTTCGTAGAAAATTACAAAAACTATTTTTTAACTAACGTTGAAAAATCAAGTTCTTTTTTGTAACACCATAAGACAGTTGGACGTGCTTTAACTTGCGCTTTCGAAAGCATATGATGAAGAATAACAACCTGAAGTAGAAGAATAATTAATTGAGAAAAAAAAAAGACATAAGATTAAATACCTGATCACGACCTTTATCTCCAACAACGACAATTAATGAACGATGGAATTGTTTCAATCCATTTTCAATTAATATACGTAAGCGATTATCAATTTTCTTTTTCACCATCTAAAATAAATCAATATTCTATATTTAAATTACAAAATCTTTCAATATGTATTATACAGAAGCTAAATGCTTTCAACTCGAAAAAAATCATTGTCCTATTGGTTAAAACTTTTTTCGAATACTTGTGTCTAACAAGAACCTTTCAAATGATGTTTATTATTTGATAAATTTCGTGAAAATTAAAAATATCCTAATAAATTTGATGAAGATAAACGTTAAGTTTATTATTCATGATAGAATTGCTAAACGAAAGATGTCGCTAAATATATTTATAATTTCATGTAAAATTATTTAAGAATTTGAGTAAATTGCATAAATATGATGAAATTTAAATAGAATTTTATTTTTTTATTATTTTATCCAATCAAAAAAGTTTTTTATAAAAGACTAAACATCAACCAGTTAGAATAAATCTTTTCTATGCATTCATTTGTTTTTACTTTTCTATTGAATTTTACCTCGATCTTATATTTTAGATCTTCTCTAACTATATATATTTTTTTGAGTGTGTGTGCGTGTGTTTTTCTTATATATTTTTATTATTCATCATCAAGTTAAACATAAATCATAGACAGTAATCATCATCAAAAGTATTAACCGGTGGTGCTTTTAAAGTACATATAGATCGATTATGAATACTAATACTGATGATTTGAACCTGATGATGACAGGAATTGCAATACCAGATGATGGAGAAGCAGATGTATTAAATGATGAAACATTTGGTGATTGTGATTTAGAAGCAATTAAAATCAAATCGGATTTTGGTGAAAATGGCGAATTTCTTGGTGATAATCCATCAAGTGGTTTACCAGCTTTTTTTGATACAGATGTATCGGATCCAGGTGGAATATCTCTTGTTGATGATGATGATCAATCTCAATCGATTGATGCATTACTTGGTGAAGATCCAATGCGTTTTTCAACAACATCAATTAATCGTCGACCACCACCAGTTATTCAACAAACATCAACAAATCCATTATTTAATATGGCTATATCACAAGCACAAGAAAATAATCGGATGAATTTCTTTCCTCAACAACAACAACAACAACAACAACAACACCAACAACCGCAGGTGCCGCAACAGCAGCCGCCTCAACAACAACCACCACCGCAACAAGTTCCACGTGTATCACCAATGACATTACCACAACAACAGATAAATTATCAATTATTAAAACAATTTGAGCAAATGTTAATCAATAAACAGGTACCACCACAAGAAAGACTTCTTTATATTCAAGCTATGATGGAAAAAATGCAACGTGATTCAATCAATGCTCAACAACAGCATCAGCAACAACAACAACAAATACAATTACAACAGCAACAACAAGCAGCAAGGGTAACGAATCTTTTCTTTTTCAATTGTAAGATTATAGTAAAATTCTATTTCTATACAGAACTCTACATAAAAATTATAATATAATATGAAAATGAACGTCTTTTCTTTTTCTGTTTATAGCTTATGAATATGAATATTAATGGTCCTGATCGATATCGTGACACAAACCCAAGTCGAGTTTTGAATAATCCTCTTCTATATGCTCAACGACAACAACAACAGCAACAACAGCAGCAGCAGCAACAACAACAACGTGAAGCATCTATGCGTTCAATGGCAATTGGTGAAATGTTGGAACGAGCTCGTTTAGCTGCTTCAAATGCTACAAATTCCAATAATTCACGATCTCAATCACCAGGAGTTGGCAATACAGGATTGTCATCACAATTTATGGATGCAATTCAACGTTCTGACCAAATCCCAATCGTTGATAATCATCGAACAGCTGACTCGCCATCATCACCATTAGATACAGTTGTTAGTCCTTCACGTCATTCACGACAAAATCGTCCAGCAAAACATTATCCTCGTCCACCTCTTCTTAATACATGGCAAGGACGTGGTCCTAATCATGATGAATTCGCGGGTATGATGACTGATCGAGAAAAACAATGGGTTGTTAAAATTCAACTTCATCAAGTTTCTCAAACACAAGAAGAAGTATTTATTTTTTTTTGTTGAGAAAATTCTTAAACAAAACTATTTATTTCTTTTTTAGGATTATTATTTTCATAAATGGTCCCAACAAAAACGTCATATGCAACAAGTTCATGGTAATCAAGCAAATCGTCATGAACATCGAGGACAATATATCAGTTATCCTGTATTACAATTATTAAAATCAATTCAACAGGAGAAAGAGTAAATATTATTTATAAACAATATTTATTTATTTTGATTTCGAATTAATTTAGCCTTGCACAACGTTTATCTCAATCATCAACTCAAGCAACATTTAGTAATGTTAATCCAGCACAATCATTACCATATGCATCACCTATACAAACACAACTTGGTAAACAATCGACAGCAACTCCTCGACATCCAAAATGTATTCTTGATCTCGATGGTAAAATTTTTAAATAATTGTCGTACATAAATAAAATAGGAATTTTTTCATTTATAGGTCAATTTATATTAGGCGTCCAAACGAATGCTATAACACATGATAAATATAGCTTAGGTTTATTATTAAATATTGAGAATATTCATCGAGATATTTTACGTCTTGATGATGATGATGATTTACCATCAACACCAAATAAAACTCCAGTTGAAACAAATACATCAGATGGTTCAACACCGACAACAGCAATAGCTCCGACACCATCATCTTCATCAACATCATCATCAACAATACTTGATTCCATCATTGATCGTTATTTAAATCATCCTGATTATTTATTTGCTGATATGTTTGCTCAATTTAATAAAGGACAAATATTACTTGAACGTCTATATCCATATTTAATAACAACAACATCAGTTACAAATCATCTTGAATTAATGCTTATACGTTTATATGGTTCATTAAATTATATGGTACGTCGTTGGTCAACAACATTTCATATTGAACCCATTGTTATGAATATGATTAGTCTTATGCAACAACAAATTAATATAAAAAAGACAACATTTGAACAATTATTATCTCAAGTTTATATTTATTATGATGAAAAAATCAAATCTAAACTCACAGAATTAAATACAACTGTATCATCAAGTCCATTTTCCGATCCAGTTTTGTTTACAAATTCTCATACAGTGACAATTTTAATTGAACTTTTACTTACATTAGAACGTCGATGTTATTTATTACAAGGTATAAATTCTTCAACATTACCTGTACAATTAATGCAACAATTACAACCACAATTACAATATCAATTATCTGAACATGTTCGTTTACTTGTTAATGATTTATGTCAATCGATTGTTGCTTGCTCACCACCAACATATACACCAAAAAAAATGCTTAAACCATTTGCACAAGTACAACAACAACAATTTGCTTTACTTTGCAAATTTCTTCGTATACAAATACCACAACAAGTTTATGCTGCACTTGAGCCAAGACTTATTTTTTGTTGTATTAAGGATATATAAGTTGTTTGTAAATAGGTTCTTTCCTTTTTCTTCTTTTCTTTTTCTTTTTTTTGATTCTAGAACAAAATTAACGCCCATAAGTTAGAAAGAGACACATACAGAGTTTTTTTTTTATTATCTTTAATTTATTTCTATTTTTCTGTACTGTGTGAAATACGCGCAATCAGAAGAATGGAAATGATTAACATTGAAAGTAAAATAAAGAAGAACAGAACTTGATGGTTTTTAAAATTAAATATGAATGATTTTTGTTTTTTTTATTAACGCCATGGCGAAGGATTTCTTGTTGAATGATGTCTAATTTTAGAATGTGAATAAGGATTTATTGGTGGTAAATGAAATTTAGAATGAGAATTTATTGGAACTGAAATAAACAATAGAAATCAACAATGTTAAGCTAAGATTTATCTAGGGAATCTTACTTTCGTTTTGTAACTGCCGTTCAGATCTCTTCGCTGTTTGATATGTAATTGGTCGTATCATGTTTTGAAGTTGTTCATCAATACTAAAGTTTTGTTTTATATATGTTTTATCATGATGATGATATTTAGGTGTCGATGGTGGAGTTGGACTGTAACGTTCAAACTCATCATCATCATCACAGTTTTGATTCAATGGTATTGATATTCGATCATAATGTGAAGCAGATGATGATTCATGAAAGGTTGGAATTTGAATCGGTGAAATAATATTACGAGGCGAAGATTGTTTTGTCAGACGAGTCCAAGTAGTTGTATTACGCATTGCTCTTGGAGATGAACTTGCTTGTTCTTGAGAAAATGTTTGATCTGCTCGATTTGATTGATCTTTAGATGTAATAGACGCATGAGCAATTGGTATTTTAGGAGAATGTCTTAAAACTGGTTGTTCAGAAACTGTACGATTATATATACTATCATCAGATACTAAAATAAGATTTTCTAGTTTCTATATAAAGAAATATTCTTTTTTTTCAATTACCTTTAATTGGTACATCATCGTTTTTAAATTTAGTTGTTGGCGGGGGTGATCGCTCATGAGAATACAATCGTTGTATTGGTTTTTTTGTTAATAGTTGTGTATTAATAGCATTGTTAGACGAGTGTTCTGCTTGGGAATTATTCGTAAAATTCGATCGTTTACGTGTTAAAATTGGTTGTTTAGAAACTGTACGATTATATATACTACCATCAGATTCTAGAATAAGATTTTCTAGTTTCTATAGAAAGAAACACTCCTTTTTTTCAATTACCTTTAATTGGTACATCATCATTTGCAAATTTAGTTGTTGGTGATGGTGATCGCTCATAGGTGTGCAATTGTTGTATTGGTTTTTTAGTCACTGATTGTGTATTAATAGCATTATTAGAAGAATGTTGTGTTCGAAAACTATTAGCAAAACTCGGTCGTTTATCTGTTAAAATTGGTTGTTTGGAAACTGTACGATGATCAGATACTAGAATAAAATTTCCAAGTTTCTATAGAAAGAAATATTCCTTTTCCTTAATTACTTTCGATTGGTATATCATCAAATTTAGTTGTTGGCGGAGGTGATTGTTCATGAGAACACAATCGCTGTATTGGTTTTTTTGTTAATAGTTGTGTATTAATAGTATTATTAGAAGAGTGTTGTGTTTGGAAATTCTTAGTCAAGTTCGATCGCTTTTGAATCAATGGTGGTTTATATTTAATTCGTCGTTGAAATAATTGCCTGGCTCGTTCAAGTGAACGTTGACGATTATTCGATGGTAATGCTTTTTGAGGTTTTTCTTGATTTTGTTTTGAATGATTTGGTAGACTTTGTTTCTTATTCTCTTGTTTATTAAATATTTGAAAATTATTATTTTTCTGTTTGGATTGTTGTTGAATAGGAATTATTTCATCACCAACGTGAACTGAACGTTGTTTTACTGATTCAAATGGTAGTCGATGATTATTTCGTTTTATACATTGATTTTCACTTATATGACGTTCATAAACTTTAATATTATAACGTCGTTTACATAAATCACAGGTTATTAATGTATTATCTTCAAGATTTGTAGTTGACATAGAAGACATGTTAATTAGATTGTTTGAAACTTAGAAAGAAAAACACAGTGTCTATGTATCAGTAAGTATATAATCATTAGTAGTTACTTTGTTTTTATTGAAATTTTATAGGGATTTATTTTTTATTAATAGTTATTTGTATAAAGAATTTTTGTCTTTTCATTTCTGGTATTTTATAATGAATTGATTTTAATACGTTATAAAACTAGACTTTATCTGGTTGCTAGCGACCTCATGTCTGTCATGATCAGTATTCAAATACGATATGGTTAAGGAATAGACCAATTCTCAGTACTCTTATTACATGCTAATAATTGAGAAGTTCAACTAGTGCCTTTTTTCAAATATATACACCTGATAAGAATCAAGCTTATTGCGTTTTTGAGATACGCTTGTCATTATGATCATGTGTAATATCACGCTATTCAATTTGCAATTCACCAAGGACACCGAGGAAAAGTCATTTTTCTTTATCCTACGAGATATTCGAGTGTGAATCATTTTAGTAGTTATATAAGACCCGCATTATTTCGTTTCTCGGTCATATCTTACATAAAAATATAGTTTTATCTTTTAGTTTGTTTGGTACCTTTTATTATTATATAAGTCCTGTGCTATTTCTTTTCTCAGTCATATCTTATATGAAATTATAATTTTATCTTTTAGCTTGTTTTGTTACTTCTGTTATTTGTAGATAAGACAAAGTTGTTTTCAAAATAACACATATCTTCAATTATGAATCTTGATTCATCATTTTATGCAGTAATATTTCGATATATTTCATTTGAAAATTAACTAAATATTCTTTTTATTAGAAAGTATTGCATAATTATGAACCACAATTAAGTATTTTACGAGAAAAAACTCGTTTATTGAATGCCCGATTATTGACTTCATTTACACCATTACAATTAGTTGCATTAACATCATTGGCTACCGCATTAGGTATTGGCCTCTATCGATTTTTATATGGACATGATGAAGGTAATATATATTGCTTATTAAATTATGATAGTTAAGTATCTTGTAGAAGAAAAATTTTCTGTTATGTATTTATTTCATAAAGTTAAAGAGTATGCATGTGACCGCTTAAAGAAAGTTTATATCTAAATTTTATTTCAGATTCAATCTTTATTTTACTGCAATTGTAAGTAGTAGTATATAATAACATGCTACTGTTGAGAATATCTAATAAATAGTTAAAATTCCCCATGGTATACCAGATATTAATGCAAGAGAACTCGAACCGGCATTTATATAGATTGAGAAATTTCTATTTTTATCTAATCTTAATTGAAAAAGACGTAAATCCGTAGTTTCCTATTTTTAAATTTACTAACATCTATCATTGTTTAGCAAGATTAATAATAATGCACACAATAATAAAATAATAAATCTAATCTCATTAGTTTCATAACTATATTGAAATTTTAACCAAACTATAATAATTTCTCATAGATCTTCCTACACGTATCAAATTAGCAATATTTCGATTGGCTCGTCGTATACCTGCTGTACGGCAACAAATTACTAAAGCACGTGATGATACATTAAAATCAGTTTATGATAGTATGGCAAAAAGTACTAAAGGACATAAATTTGCAAATGCTTTACCACAAAAAGGACTTACAAAAGTAAAAATGATGAATTAATATTATCTCATATGTTATCTTATTCTCAAATTCTTTCAGGATGAACTTTTGAAAAAACTTGAAAAATATCGAAACTTCGAACGTATTAATTATGAATCTGGTAATGTTTCTGGTTGTGTTTATAAAATATCAACTCCTAGTACAACAGAAATTTATAATGCAGTAATATAAGAAATAAAATTCATGTCTTATATATATATGTATTATTTTCTTTGCAAAGGTTTTTGAATTATTCGGTGAAACGAATCCACTTCATGCTGATGTTTTTCCAGATATTCGTACAATGGAAGCTGAAGTTGTTCGATGTGTAGCAACTATGTTTCATGGTGATGAGAATGCTTGTGGAACGGTAAATTAAATTTTCATTAAATTTCTCAATTTTTTTTCTAATTCTATTATGTAGATGACATCGGGTGGTACAGAATCTTTATTAATGGCTTGTAAAACTTATCGTGATCTAGCTAAATCAAAAGGAATTACAAAGCCTGAAATGTAAGTACATACTTAGCATATTATATGAAACATATGATAAAGGATCAGTATACGCCTTCATTGAGTGGTTTCTGTCATCGAACATATACATATATATATATATACATATAGTCATTTGCATATCTTTTCGTCTCACTTGTACGACGCATTACAAAGGGGAGAGAAGAATAGAGGCGGTCGGCGGCGAGTTCTGACAATAGACACATCAATGATGATGATGATGATGATTACATTTGTATGTATGTATGTATGTGTTCGCTCTCGTCTACCGCGCGCCTAGCACAATTATGAATGCATTCAAGCTTTTCGTCGGTCTATTTGAAAAAAAAGAGGAGAAGAAGAGGAAATAGAAGATTAACGTTCTTTTTTTCTTAAAACATGTTTTTAAAATAAAAAATAATCATAAACAGAAAAAAAAGAAGTGGAAATGATATTTGCCGATACGATGAACTTATTCCAAAGAGAAATTCGTCCGATTTCAAATAAAAATCATTATTACATTGTTCACTGTTACATCGTCTTATTGTAATTATATCAATTTGAGAAGATGTTGTTAATGAACCAATTTTTGGTTCAAGTAATACATTTCCATCGATTGACATATCGTCATATAGTGAACAGTCACGTATAGCTCGTGTTAATTTATTTGTAGAAAGTTCACGTTTCGATATACTTGATGATAATGAACGATTATGTATAATAGCAAAATAACAAAATGTTCTACATGTTCGTACGGGTATTTCTATTGTAAATTCTCCACAACCAGGTCCATCAACAAAATTGTCACATATTAAACATTGAATATCGGATGCATTGATTATTGATGTATAATCAATTAACATTAAAAATAGACTAAAAAGTACATTTAAATAATATAAATCCATTCCATTAAATATCTAAAATATGTCAATTGATAAATAACCTTGTAAAATAGAAATAAATAATTTTTCTCTTCAACTTATTTTTTAAAACTATATATATATAATAGTGAATTTATTCATAAAGCATCACATACATCTCGTTTTGTCGCTCGAGTGATCTGAATGCGACACGCCGCTTGTTCGATTACATCATTACTTACGTTCATATACACATACACACACACACACTTGTTGTTTCGTCACTCTTTTTTGATAGGAAATCTATGATGAATTAATGCTGTTATTCGATTCATGCTCGACTGAATCTATAGAGAAATAAATACATACAATTATTCGAACAAAACAAAAAGTTCTTTTATACATATTCATATGTAGAAAAAAAAAGATACAGATGTGCTCGAACAACTTGTAGTAACGATCGATCTGACATTGTATGTCTTGTCATCGATCAAACTTCGAGTTATCTTTGACTTTATGTAGTCCTAAATAACGAGAAGAGCGGGGAAGAGAAAAACAACATAAAAAATTGCGTCACGTACAATCAGAAATCGAACTATTATCTTAAAGAAAATCGCATGCGAGAATAAAATCTTCTCTCTGTCTCTCATATAATCCTATTCAAGTAAAATCACAAATGAGACTAAAAGAAAAAAGAATGCAAAGAAGGAGGAGAAGAAGAAGAAGAATCAACGCTAACAGGATGAATTTATCTCTGGTCAATTAGGCTACAAGGAGGATAGAATATGTTTGATCGAAGCGACGTGTATATGTTAGTATCATTATCGAGGCTTGAATGCTCATGTTGACCGTACAATATAAATAAACAACGGAAGAAAAAATATATGAGAGTCGCCTATAAGCTATTATTGATTCGATTAGTAAAGGTGTTGTTATTATTCTTTCAAACAACTTACATGTGAATGTAATGGAATGTATAATAAAAAAAAATGTGATGAAAAGCAAAGAGTAATTTAGTTGTTCTCATCAATAACATGATTGCATTGTTGTTACTCTCATTCTCATTTTTTTCTTCTTCTCCTTCATCGTGTTCTCTCTTATCTTGCGGACAGAAACATGCACATCGATTGACCTCAATCAAAGAAAAAAAAAAGAGAGAAAGAGAATAGTACTTTTTTTCTCTCTCTTCTCTTCTCTTACCTTATCAATTCGACTAAACAAGGAAGAATACGATTTTGACATTTTTATTTTACTTTTATTTCTGTCTATCTGTTCTTTACATCGGTGTATATCAATAGACTATGTTGAATGATTATACTTATTTTACTAATCGAGTTTAAGGTAGAAACATCAGACAAAAGTAAGCGACAAGGAAATAGAATTTTCAGTGTGTGTGTGTGTGTATAGCCTCGAGATAGGCAAAAGTGACTAGTTAATAGAGTCTCGTTGCATTACATTTCCGCTCGTAAATCAACTAAAAGAACGGCTAGATATGAATGAGATTTATGCCAAATGTTGTTTATCTCAATCAGTATATATACTGAAAGTATATATATGTACTTAGTTCGGTTTCTTTTTATATTCAATCTGATAAACGGATCACGTAGACGACATACTTGACTTTCAAATAGTTTATGTACCAATTTAATCATTTAGAGAGAAATAGCAAAGATGTTTTAATGATAATGATTTCAATCTCATACTTATGTTCAAATTAATCTTTGAACTCGTATATATTCTAACTATGATTGATGATGCGAACAATACAATGAATAGTTATGTATCATTGAAGATATACTCTCAGAAACGAGGTCGATGCTATTGTGATTAACTTTTTTTTTTGCTATATTACTCCGGTCTCTTAACATAGAACAGAGTGTCTGTCTTTGTGTAAAGAAGAAAAAAAACGAAGGAAGAAGGATGACACGGCCGGTTGACTGAAAAGATGGAAAAAAGAATGGTCACTTCACTTTCTCTTGTCATCAACAGAAGGAAACGGCATCTAATTTTGAATTATGAGAGAACCAGACGGGAAAGAAGAGACATCAGTATAAAAAAAAGAATAGAGAGAGAGAAACCATACTACCATTGTTGTGTTGTCAAAATATATCAAAAGATTAATCGACATAAATCAGTCGATGATGATGCATGCATAGTATTTCTCCGATTCGTATATATGTGTATGTAATTAATAAGTAATGACAAGAATATAGAAGAAAGTGAACGATTACATGAAACAGACATTCAATATTTCAACAGATACATCATATATATAAAAGTTTCCGAGTGTCTTTCTCGACTAGTACTTGAAGCGAAGCGAGAAAAAATCTCAAGTGTACTTTATTATGGATTCCTCTTCATAGTTGACATTAAAATAAATAAAAAGAGTTACATATGTACATAAGGACAGACATAAAGAGAGAAGGAGAGACGATACCTGTCAAAAAAAAATTTCAAGAAGAAGTAAAAGAGAAAAGAACATTTCTTTTCTTGCATGTTTCTCAATCTGATTATGGATAGACAAAGTCTTCTTTCTTTCTTCTGTCATTGTCGGCTAAAAATGTTTGTATGACAAATATATACAAGTAACTTGCTTACGTGTTTGTAAGATCAATTAAATGTAACAGAACACGCATGATAAGCATGAAATCTCTCCGGAACTTGCTCTATCTTATTCATCATACTAATATGGCTGATTCAAGCAAAATTAAAAAGAGAAAAAAGAAAGATGCTAACATTTCTCTCGTTCCCCTTTTCTTATTACTACAACATTGATCATATTCAAACAAGGATGTGAATGTGAGCGAGATCTTTTGCCTTGACAAGATGCAGTCACACGGTCAGTAGTAACTAACGAGACTGCAATTAAACGTACATACACTCATTTCCGCCGGCAGAGCTAGCACTCGTGCATACGTATCTGGTCTTGACATAGAATACAAAAAAAAAAGAGAAAGAGAAGAAAAACTTCGAATTGGACCGTGCTTCCGTTACAAAAAAAGAACGTATCAATTTTTTTTTACTATACTATAGAGAGAAGAACACGAAGGAGTGTGTCATAATCATACTTCGATGGTGCGTGTGAATACAAAATAGAAGTAGATCTATGTATTAAGCAATCGGTTGACACTTTGTCTTCTCTCGGATGAACAGATGTGTTAGTACTATTGTATTAAACGATTTTGTTCATTATCTTTTAAATCCTGTTCATAATATTTTTTTGTAAAATGAGGAATGTTGATTACATTCGAAACACATCAATTTAAATGCTAGTATTCTTCAATAGGACATTGTCAATTAATGTTAGAATTCTTCATTCAACATATGTTCTTTTATCTTATCAGAGATGTAACTTAAAATTCTCTTTATGACATCTGATTGAGACTACTGTTTGTTCTGTCATTCTTGTCAGACAAAAGTAACTTTTCACACATCTGACTAACACCTGTGTTTTGATGTAGCCTAAGAAATATCTATCTATAATATAATGGACAATATTGCTATCGTATCTCTATGTCTTCTTCTTCTAACTGTGCATATATACATACATATATATCTCTGCATGATTGCTTGCAGTAATTCACAACATTTATAGAAGATAAACAGGTTATGGCAATGATGCATCTCTACTAATCAATGATACATCTATGAAGAACGAATAAGAGACAGAAAGAGAAGAAGAGAAAAAGAGAAATAATGTATGCAAGCTGAGAGACATTGTTTTTCTAACAAATAATCAAGCTAGTTTTTCTTTTCTGCTTGTTTCTATAGTAAAAAGCCAGTTGAGAAGGGCACCCATTTCTCCACCCACCACTTACCGCTCTTCATTCTGTCGTCTTTTTCCTTGTTATTGCTACGAAAGAGAGACGACTCCCTAGTGAGAACAACCGGACACTCAAGAAAAGCATTGCAGTCAGGCAGCAATGAAGTGGCTTCTCCTACTTTCTCTCTCTCTCTCTCTTATTTGAGAGAAAGAAGCAATAAGAGAATATTTAACATCTATTCTTTCTGTTTTTTATTGAATCTTTCGTCTCTTTGTATATATATATATGTATATATATCTTTCTGATAGGAGAGCGTATAAAGTAGAAAGAAAAGAAAAGAATACCTTGAAAAAAAGAATGAATGAGGTTACGTATGTAGATCTTGTTTCGATCAATCAATCAGACTCCCACACACGCGTATGAACATAAATGGCTATTGGGCTTTGTCAACATCAGATGTATATATACATGTTGTTAAATGTTTGTGTCTATTATTTGTGTCTGCCGGTCACTACTAGAGCTCAAGTAATAAGAAAACGAGACGAACAATTACCTTTGACTTTACTAAACAAGAAGTAGAAAAAACCGTAACATACATAAAAAGTATTAAAGCATAACGATGAACTATTGATTAACTCGATGAATATCAAATAATTGATCGATTGTAAAAATATTCTATTTTACTTTTTCTTTTTAAAGTATAACACTTTTCTGCATGAACAAACTGATTCATAGAAAAGAAAATGTGCTAGACTTATTTTCAAGGTTATCTATATTAGAAAAAGTAAAATGAAGTACTCACATTTTTCTATTCAATGATTTCACGATAAAAAAAATATTGAGTATACTTACAAAAGAGTCAATATTGATTGCATTTATCAAGATTTTATTTCAATAAATATGTTTGAATTCATAGAAATCGATATGAAAATTATCTTTTGATTTTATTAATTATTTCTTCAAACTATAAGACTTCCAATCATTTGCGATATGTAAACTGAAGCAATAGAAATAAATAAACAAACATTAGATGAATCGATTCTATTAACGAATGAATTTGTTTTCTTTTTATAGTATTATGCCTGTAACAGCTCATCCAGCTTTTAACAAAGTATGCTCGAATTATTCGAAAAGATTTATTTATATAGAAATATTTTTCTTATAGGCTTGTGCTTATTTTAAAATAAAATTAATACGTATTCCAGTTGATCCTATAACACTCGAAGTTGATCTTAAAAAGATGCGTCGAGCAATTACAAGAAATACATGCATGGTAAAATATTTCACTAACAAAAAAAAAGAAGCCCTGATTTAAATATATTTCTTTTTAGCTTGTTGCTTCTGCACCAAATTTTCCACATGGTGCTATTGATCCAATTGAAGATATTTCTAAAGTAAATATATTTGTATAAATTATTGATGAAATATTTAATTTATTGTATCTAGATTGCACTTGAATATGGTATACCATTACATGTCGATGGTTGTTTAGGTGGTTTTCTTATTGCTTTTATGGATGAAGCTGGTTTTCCATTGAAACCATTTGATTTTCGTGTACCAGGTGTAATGAGTATCAGTTGTGATACACATAAAGTATTCATATTTTTTTTTAAATTTAAGAATGAGAAAAATGAAATGTTATCTATTTGTATCTTAGTATGGTTTTACACCAAAAGGAGCATCCGTTATTCTTTATCGAACTCCTGAAATTCGTGTACATCAATTTTATGCATTAGGTGATTGGCCAGGTGGTATCTATGCATCACCATCCGTTGCTGGTAGTCGTTCAGGATATTTAATCGCTTGTTGTTGGGCTACACTTATGTATTATGGCCATGAAGGTTATGTTGAAGAAACACGAAAAATTATTGAAGTAACACGATATATTGCCGATGGGTATAATAATTAAACTATTTAAATTATTTAATTAATTTTTTATTTTATAGTTGGAGTAAAATTCCAGGTCTTCGTCTTTTACATAATCCTGATGTCAGTGTTGTTGCTGCTGGTTCAGACATATTCAATATTTATTATTTAATCGATGGAATGATTGCTAAAGGATGGCATTTAAATGGTTTACAAAATCCAGCTGGGTATCTAATGAAATTATTTTTTTATAAAGTAATTAATAATCAAAATTTTGATTTTTTAGTATACATATTGCTATTACACAACTTCATACACAAGCAGGTGTTGCAGATAGACTTCTACAAGATACACGAGATTGTGTTGCAGAAATTTTGAAATCAGATAATAAAAATGATACACCTACAGTAAGAATTTAATATTAATTTTCAATTGTTATCATAATCTCTAAATTAGGCTGTAATTTATGGTACAAGTCAAAAAGTACCTGACAAATCCATTGTCTGTGATATGGCTAAATTATTTATTGGCGCATGTTATGAAACGCGTATACCATCTGCAACAAAAAATGAATGAAATACTGTAGTCGTGATGATGATGATGTTCTTTTTTTTTTATTTTAATATTTTTGTTTAACGTACAACAATGCTATTTTTAGTCGTTTAACAGCAATCATTCTTATATATTTATCAATTATTTTTTTATCGCGTTTTTTTCCTCTTCTTGAAGAAAACACACAATTCTTTTTCTGTATTACAGTAAATTTGTTGTGGCTAAATCATTTTTGTAATCAGTGTTGATTTTTTTTCTAGAAAATTATTTCTATATCATCTATCACAGAAAGGTACAGTTATTTCATACTAATTATAATAATATAACCGAACTAAAAAAGAAAAATATGCATAACTTAATATGATTTATTGAAAGAAAAGAATCTTTTTATAGAATACTTCCATGGATAAAGAGGATATAAAAGTGGTATTAACACAACCATCTACTTATAAAATTTCAACATCATACAAAAAATCGCCAACAGGTATTCATGGTGGCGGTGGTTCATATTTTCATCTGTAAGCGACTCTATATTTATATTTATTTTTTTGTCTTCTAAACTATTTCTATCAATATTACAGGATTTATGGTTGTGTTGCAGGTGCGGTTATCTGGTGTATAATGGAGGAATGTTGTTAATAAATATTGGAATTTTTTTGTTGATAAAAAATAAAATTATGATAATTCATAACTTGAATGATTATAACAATAGGAGTAACCAGCAGTGAATGCAAAATAAATTGCTGTTAAAAATCCACCAATGCATGCAATAACCATTAAGACCATACTATAACCTATATTCACTTGTCTTGTGTTGGCGGTATTAAGTTCAATAACATATTTAGGAAAAAGAAGAAATCCAATAAGAATTAAAATTGAACCAATTATTGGTAATACAGGAGAAATTAAATGAAGATAACTATTTCTAGATAATAATTTTAAAATAGTAAAACTTATAACCCCTATTGCTATGATAACTACTCCAGCTATTTGTAGACCTTGAGCTGTTTTAAATGTAGGTACATTAGTACACGTAGTTCCAGTGGCAACTACAGTACATTCTCGAAAGAGACCATAGACAGTATTCATTCCACCGGCAACAACTTTTACATCAATCCATTTCGGTGTTGCAAGACCTATAATACCAAAAATGACTGAAATAAGACCAATTGCAGCAGTAATAATTAACAGTTTAAAATTAACCATTCTTTTAGGATTAAAAACAATGTAATAAATGGTATCAAATCATTTAAAATGACAAATTTTTTACTAGCTATTATAAATATATTTTTCTCTTATCAGTATATAAAATACTCTATATTTATGAAAAGAATTTATTACCAATTATAAACAATTCAGAAGTAAAAACTCGATTTTATTGACGAAAAATTTCGAGATAACAAAAACAAGTTTTTTTTTCTAAAAAAAAGATTTATAATCATTATTTGCTTGAATATTTTTTTTAATAAATATTGACAGTAGATAGAATATGTCGATGAATATAACCAGCAACAAATGAAAAATAAACTGTTAAAATACATCCAGTAATATTAGTACAAATCATCAATATCATACTATAACCAAAATAGATATTTTCAATCGGATTGTCATAAGTCATTTCGACGAGATTTTTAATATACAAAAGTAAACCGATGAAAATTAATATTGTACCAATCATAATAATAATTGGTGAAATAAATTGAATATTACGTTTATAAAATAATTCAGTACATAGAATACCAATAAAAACACCAAGTATTAATAGAACATAACCAGATATTTCAAAATATTGACATATTTCAAAGGATGTTAGATCTTCATGTTGAATTGTTTCATTCGGAAATTTTTGAAAGAGACCATATGTAATTATAGATGAAGATCCATTGTGATTTATACTTATCCAATTCGAAGTTGTAAGTCCAGTAATACCCAGAATAATAGGAACAAGACCTATGCTAAAACCTATAATCGCAAATTTCTGATAATAATGCATGTGTAACATAGAATATATTTTATCGTATGAGTTAATAAAGAATGACAAAGTCTTTATTGAACAATATGTTATGATTAAAAATAGTCATATATTTATCTATGTTATCAGTCATAGTTGTCATTTATTAGTTTAATAGAAAGTTCTCTCGTTGAACTCTAATAATAATTTACTAAGGACAAAATTTTTCTGTATATCTCAACTGAATGTTTTTATTAGTTTAATAATGTATTACTAATCTTTTCATTTTAATTTTTTTTTGCTAAAAAAACTACAGGATAAAAATTATTTTTCATTTAAAAATGAAGTTTTTTGAAATAATCAAAATCGAACAGTTTCTCCAGTAGTAATAGTTGTCGAACTATGGTAATGATGGTGGCCACCAGAACTAATGATTGCAAAATATATAGCTACAATATAGCCAGTAATACTGGAAATAATCATTAATATTATGCTATATCCTAAACCATGGTTGATTGTACATTCTAAGAATAAAATAAGACCAATAAAAATTGCGGTGGGCCCCAGAATAAGTAAAATTAGTGGTGCACGTCTAATCCATCGATTTTTGACTATAATATTAAGAAGAACTGACACTATAACACCAACTGCTATGGCAGCAATACCACCTATTTCTAAACCTTGAAATAGTTGTTTCATCTGGAGTTTATTACACTGGGAATGTAGAGTACCAGTATTCAGCGTGAAAAGATTGTAATCTGGTGAATAATAGCTCCATTTTCGCGTCACAAGTGCCACAACACCTAAAGCAATTGGAATAAGACCGAGTACAGCACCTAGTAAGACTGATATACGTATTTTTTGCATCACTAATAACTAAAATAATAGCGAAATAACTTCTTACAATGATTGTTAGTAAAAATCTTTCTTCGCATACAAGACAATGCAATAAATGAAAAACGATAACTACCTTTACTCGTTTATGATTTAACTGACTAGCATATTTTATACTATCATGTCATAAATGATTTTTTTTTTCTTTATCAAAAAAGTAGTAATATCTAGTTTATCTCATTATATATCAATTGCATTTACTTGTCATAAAATCTCCTTTAGAAAAAGAAAGTTAAAAAAATTTGCTGGTACTATATATTGAAAATTTAATTCTGAACGTTATCAATCATTGCATGAGTTTTATATACATTGGTTATCGTAGATAATCAATAAAAGAACGATGTCTATAAGATTTGAAATAGCGATATAATTGGTTGGTTGTTTTTGAATATGACTCTATAACTAATATTGAAAAATGATATACTGATTATAAAATCAAGAATAAATTTTGGTTATATTAGTTGTTATAAAACAAAATAAAAAATTTATCTTTATGTACATTCAATTTTTCATATCACTTGACCATTGATGATAGTGTATTCTTCTGATAAATTCTTTTCTTTTTCATATGTTCGGGTCATTCTTGCTTTCCTTTTCCAAACCTTCGTTGTTTATTCTACATAGAAATAACTCATCCTGTTCTGTTTTTCTCTCTTCGTTGTTGCCCGTTATAACTTATGATCGCTGGCTTGCATACATTGGCTGATATATGTACTATCGCCGACATCCACCGAATATCAACTAGGACCATTATAAATATATGCGCGTTCTACTCATTTATCTCTGAGAGAAAAGGAGGAAAAGACACGAAGAAAATTTCTTCTCTACTATAACTCATCCATTCTATAGTGTTGTGATCAATGTTTAAAGTTATGTTTATCATTCTATATTGTTTACTATTTTCAACAGTTTATTCATCAACTGAAAGTATGTAGGATTAATTTATAACAAATAAATATTTTTTTTTCTCTTTTCTTTTTGCAATAGATAAAACTACAAACGAAAAGCCCGATAAAACAAGTGAAAAGCCTGGAAGATTATATGAATTTCAATCAAATATTGATTATGTCTATCATTATTCAACTGATATTCATATGGATCATAAAATTTGGGCAGGTTCGGAAGAAAGTCATATAAAACGTCATTCTGATGCTGCATTTCATTTATATGCTCGTGTTAATTTAACTAGTGTATGGCGAAGTGCCGACGGCGAACAACATTTATTAAAACTTGAAGTAAAATATTTCTTTAAAAATACAAAAAATTTATTTTTATTTATATAATTTAGTTAAAAGAAGCTCGTTTTGTTAATCGAACAAATTCACATAGTATGATTGATTGTTTAGCATTAAGTACACTTACACATTATCCTGCAATGTTTATATGGAATCAAGGAATAATATCTTTATCCTATTTTAATGAAAATGATAATTTAGCGGCTATTAATTTAAAAAAAGGAATTATATCTTTATTTCAATATAAACAAGATAATGCATCTGAAACTGATACATTAGGAACATGTAAAACAGAATATCGAATGTATGAAAAAAGTCTTGTAAAAGATAAATCGGAATGTTCAAATATCAAATATAATGATGAATATAGTAGTGCTAAACAAGTAAGATAAAATATAAGAAGATTTTAATTAATTATTAAAATAGGTATTGAATTATTCAATTGATTTTCAATCTACATGTGTTTATACATTTGATAATTCAACACTTAAATCAAGTTCATGTTCAGATATAGCTTTGCCGAGATTAATCGTTCCTGAAGTAGCTGGTTTTCGTATTATGTCAAGGTAAAAATTTTAGAATTACCCCATTCGTCATATATTTTGCTTTAGATTAAGTGTTGATCTTATGGAAAAAGTGGATAATGATAAACATCAAAAATATTTAAATTCAGATGCAGCATTAAAATCAGTTTTAAGTAAATATTTTCTTATTAAAATTTTTCTATGGAATTACTATTGATTTAATAGGTATTACAGCTGATCAATATCATCCACTTGAAACAGAAAAACAACTTCATCCATGTGATGAATATTGTGAAAAGGTTTAGATAAAAAATTAATTCTATTCTCTTTTTTAATTTATGTAATTATTTAGTTTGAGGAATTTATTCGAGATTATAATAAAAAATTAGCACGTTCTGTTATTGGTGATCGATCAGCAAGTGATGTATTTTTACATTTGATTGCACTTGTAAAAAGACAAAGTGAAACGACATTAACTAAAGTACTTGATAAAGCATCAAATTCAATCAAATTTACACTTATTGAAGCATTTGTATCCGCACAAACACCTGCTTCATTAAATGCAGTTTTGAAATATTTGGATAATTCAATGAATGCAAAAAATAAAGTTGAATTAATCGAAATATTTCTAATGGCAAGTACGTTTGCACCAAGACCATCGGATTTATTACTCGACAAAATATTGGTAACGAATAATTAACATTATGAAAAAAGCATTAAATATTTTTTTTTGTCTAGGAACGATTACCAAAATTTACAACTATTGATGCTCAACTTGAACAAAGTACTTATTTAGCATTGGGAGCTATTACTCATAGATTATTTGATTTAAATAAAACATCATCCGTAAGTAAGACTAACGAGGGAACCGCCCCAACTGTCCAATTAAAGTCTCAAAAAATCACGCATAACCCACGAAAAGTACTAGAATATTCTGTTTTTGAGAAGGAAACGTTCTTTTTATCTGAAATTTTCAGGGTATTCTAGTCCCATATAGACCTCACTGTGGGCAAAGTCTCAAGTCGAAACACCGTCATTCGATTTATTTATATATACCCTACCATAGGCTAAAATTTCAGTATATTGCCTATAACTCGAGACAGAAGGCTTAACGGCTCTTATCCTTTTGGGATCTACTTTATGCAGAGGACCCGAACTGAAAAGGGATTGGACAGTTGGGGTGATTCCCTCGTAAGACAAATAATATTTAAATAAAATTATGAATTTAGGCTATTGAAAAATATACAACACTTCTTCATAACACGAAGAAAAAAGCATTAGTTTATTTATCATTATATAATGCTAAACTTGATTTATATCAATCGATTTTAATCGATGAAATTCGTCGTTGTAATGATACGAATTTATGTTGGTTAGCATTAAATGCATTAACGCAATATGATCCGGAACGATTTTCAACTGAAATTATAACTATTCTTCGTTCAATTTATCATGAACAAAAAGGAAGAGTAAAAACAAATCTACAAATTCGACAACTTTGTGGGCAATTATTACTTCGAACTGATATTTCAATTGGTGACCTTATGAATCTAATTGTAAAATCAATTAATAAATAATTCGTAAATTTAATCTTATTTGTTTTTAGCTTTCAGCTCTTGATAAAACAAATCATCAATTAGGTGTTTATATGTGGCGTTTAATATCGACTATGGCTGAAAATGATGAATTATTTTTGTAAAAATATTTTGTTTTTTCCTTTTTTAATTTATTTAAATTCTTTTTATTTTAGTCGAAAAATCAAATTTATCTATAATAATGGTTTAATTGATTTAACATATGATAGAATAGCTTATAAAGGTCAATCCGATTATTATCGTCGACAATTTTTACAAACATTTGGTTTTGGTGTTTATTATACAATATCACAATTAATGAGTCGTCATGGAGCTTTACGTGAAAGTGATTTTGATTTACATATTCAACAATATAATAAAAAAGATAGATTTAATCTTTTATCTGTAAGTTAAAATATATATTTATATACAAATAAATCAAATTATTTATTTATTAAGCTTGGTGTAAGTGCATCAGGACTTGAAGCTTATGTTAGTGATGATGGAAAAACAAGTGATACACCAGATGAAGATCTTCAAGCAGAATTACGAATTACATTACTGAATATGCAATTACGACCCGTTGTTTTATTTAGTGGTGTTACAGGACTTATGTCTGCCGTATGGAGTGCACCATCAGAACTTACATCAGCATTTAAAGTAAAAAAAAATAGAATTATTTAAAATAATAATCATGATTTGATTTGATTTAGAGTAATATAATGATACATGATTTATCTCGTTATATTCATCTTCATAATGGTCTTGTTGTTCATTATGAAGCTCAAAGTGCTGCTTCACTTGATTTATCTGGTATGGCATCTGTTAGTTTATGGAATAAAAATTCACATTCAGTTATACGAGTTAGGTTAGTTATTATTGTAAATATTTGATTGATTGATTTGAAATTTTGCTATTTGTTATTTTAGTTCGGGTTTTAGTGTTCGTAGTCATGTGGATATTTTAAATGATTTTGTTGTTATGGGAATAAATGCAACAACAAGTACAAATATTATTGTTGATTATACAACTGATGTTGATTATGCTGATACACCAATAAATGTTTGTATGCAAATGAGTATTCAACCAACGGAAATTTAGTGAGTAAAACTGAATAGTTAGTTAGTTTTATTCTAATGATTTTATTTCTCTTTCTTTTCTTAATCAGTGACAATGTTGATAGTTTTTATTCATTAAAACGAACAAAAGCTTTACGATGGTTTGGTAGTCGTATACGTCGTTTACTTGGTCATGATTACACATTTACACAAAAAAATAATGCTATGTGTCGACAACTTCATGTGCTTTAATAATGTTAATCTTTTTTTTCATCTTCTTAAAAAAATAAAGAATAAATCTAATATCATAGGATAAAAAACTATATTGTTAAGAAATGAAGAATGATTAAATAAAATAAAGGATAATATTATCATTTAATGGATGATGGAGGTGTTTGAAGTGTGGGTGTGAGGTGATGTGCATGTAAATGAGAGGTATATATAATACTCACACCTACGCCCGTTAGAAGAATCTTTTGTGAATTTAGCGTGTGAGTGTGAATAAGGACGTGAGTTATTAGCACATTCACAGCCACATCCATACTCACACTCTAGTCTATGAGAATCTGGGCATGAAGGAGCCTGCATTGCACTCAATGTATTTTGATAATGCTTAAGCGTAAGCTAAAACAAAAATATACAGGGTGATAGAGAATTCTAAGCGGTATCAAATGGTATAATTATGTTTTCTAAAATGTCCTTTTAGAGTGTCAATAGAGTTGAAATACTATGTACAGCTTTTGTTTTCCAGGGATATATGCATACATGCTATTTTGTTTCTATTGACCTGGGCTATTGTATTTGTTCTCTTTGTTACAGCCTTAATGAAAATCCTTTTCGTTGGTTCAGTAGTGAAAGGATCGACGTTTCTTTCAGGTAAAAATGCAAGTATGTATAGGCGTGTCGAACGAAGAAAATAGGGAAAAATACAAAATTAGTTTTTCGGCTATTTTCCCTTGCCAAGTTGGAATTAACACAGTACAAGTTATAGGTTCAAGAAAAATAAGGGAGAAGAATGAAAAGAAAGAGAACAGAAAAAAAAGAAAATACCATATAATATAAATGTAGAGAACGAATAATATATTCATTCTCTTAAATACTTCGTTGCACTTTTTTTGTCTCTCTTTTATATATATGGAATATTCCTCTTTCGTTATAAATATATATAGTTATCATTTAATTTCAATAAACAGAAAAGAAGAAAATACTATGAGTCTTACCTAGATTCAAGATGCTCCGCTGTCTATGATTAGAATACCATTCTCATACACACGTCCGCACTCACACAACGAGATGAAAGACTTCTTCTTTGTCCAATCAATAGATTCCTCTCATTTCCTCTCTCTCTTCTTCTAAATTTTATTTCTCACTGTTTTTTGTCTTTTTTTCAGTCATATTCTCTCATATGTCAATTTTTGATTCATCTATTCATAAAAACGCAGTATATATTTTACTTTTTTATTGGCGACATTTCAAATCGTAACGTATAATTTCCAACAATTTTCGTTCTTTAATAAACAAAAGTATTCGCCTAAGTATCACTAAATAAAAAAAACATAACTAAAAATTAGAAAACTTACTTTCAGATTTTTAATGGCTAGAGCAATAGGTATTGATTTAGGTACAACATATTCATGTGTTGGTATTTTTCAACATGGAAAAGTTGAAATCATTGCAAATGATCAAGGTAACCGAACAACACCATCCTATGTTGCATTCAATGATAGTGAACGTTTAATCGGTGATGCTGCTAAAAATCAAGTAGATATGAATCCATATAATACAGGTTTTGATGTTAAACGACTTATTGGTCGTAAATTTGACGATGCAACAGTTCAAGCTGATATGAAATACTGGCCATTTAGAGTAATTAACGATGTTGGTAAAATAAAGATTCTAGCTGAATATAAAAATGAAATAAAATTATTCAGGCCTGAAGAAATTTCATCTATGGTTTTAATGAAAATGAAAGAAATTGCTGAAGCTTATATTGGCAGAAAAATCTCCGAAGCTGTTATCACTGTTCCAGCTTATTTCAATGATTCACAACGTCAGGCAACAAAAGATGCTGGTGTTATTGCTGGGCTTAATGTTTTACGAATTATTAATGAACCAACAGCTGCTGCTATTGCTTATGGTTTAGACAAAAAAGTGTCTGGTGAAAGAAATATTCTTATTTTTGATTTGGGTGGTGGTACTTTTGATGTATCAGTACTTAAAATTGAAGAAGGTATCTTTGAAGTAAAATCAACAGCTGGTGATACACATTTAGGTGGTGAAGATTTTGATAATCGTATGGTTACACATTTTGTTCAAGAATTCAAACGTAAAAATAACAAAGATTTATCACAAAATAAACGTGGTCTTCGTCGTTTACGTACAGCTTGCGAACGTGCTAAAGTAAGTTAATTGAATCTATATTTGAAAATTGAATTTTTTAATTTATTTTTCTTTGTTTTTTTTAAATAGCGTACATTATCATCATCATCACAAGCTTCAATTGAAATTAAGTCACTTCATGAAAGTATCGATTTCTATTCAACAATTACACGTGCCCGTTTTGAAGAACTTTGTGCTGATCTTTTCCGTTCAACACTTGAACCAGTTGAAAAAGCTTTACGGGATGCTAAAATGGATAAAGCAAGTATTCATGAAATTGTACTTGTTGGTGGTTCAACACGTATTCCAAAAGTACAAAAATTACTTCAAGATTTCTTTAATGGAAAAGAATTAAACAAATCAATCAATCCAGATGAAGCTGTAGCTTATGGTGCAGCTGTTCAAGCAGCTATTTTAACTGGTGATAAATCAGAAGAAGTTAAAGATGTACTTTTACTTGATGTTGCACCACTTTCATTAGTAAAAACTCTAAATTTGTTTGCCTTTTTTATTGACTATGTTTCCGCTTTATTTTAAAGGGTATTGAAACATCTGGTGGAGTCATGCGTATATTCATTAGACGTAATACACGCATTCCAGCAAAACGAAGTCAAATAATTACACCAGATTGGGATATGCAATCTATTGTTGTTATTAAGGTTTATGAAGGTGAACGTGCAACGGTAAGAGATAATCATTTACTTGGTAGTTTGACACTTCATAATATTCTACCAACTTCACGTGGCAAACCACAAATCGAAGTTACATTTGATATTGATGCTAATAGTATCTTAAGTGTTTCAGCTGTTGATAAATCAACTGGTCGAGAAAATAAAATTACCATTACAAATGATAAAGGTCGATTATCAAAAGATGATATCGAAAGAATGGTTTCTGATGCTGAAAAATACAAGAAAGAAGATGATGTACAACGTGAACGTATTTCAGCTAAAATATCACTTGAATCATATTGCTATAATATGGAAATAAGCATTAATGACGACAGGATTGCATCAAAAGTTTCAGCTAAAGATAGAGCTAAAATCTATGATACACATGACGAAGTAATTAAATGGATGAAAACAAATCAATTGGCTGAAAAAGAAGAATTCGAACATAAACTTAAAGAAGTTGAAAAAACTTGTTCACCAATCATGACTAAACTTTATGGTAAGCTATAGAATATTGTTTCGAAAATATAGAATATTTTATTTTTATTTTCATTGTAGGAGGTGCTGGTGCTCCTCCAACTGGTAGGAAAGGAACAGGTGGTAAAGGACCAACAATCGAAGAAGTTGATTAAATATCGAAACAATAGACAGAATAACACACATTTCTTTTCTTTTTTTTAAATAACAAAAGCTTATAATCCGTCTTGCTGGTTTATTTATTTCTAGTCACCTTTCGCTTTTCTTTTCATGTGTTAAATTAGATCTTTAAGATTTCACTTTTTTTGTCTCTAAATGTGTGTGTAAAAACTATGATGAAAAGTTTTATGTTTACGCTCAAGAACAATGATAATAAACATGCAACCTGAGAACGGATAAATTCTCACTAGAATTATTCGTCATGTTTTTTATTTGATATAAAGTTAAATACAAATATCGATAGAAATTTTTAATTGAGATTTCATTTGAAAAAACATATGTAGTAGGTAGTATTACTATAGATAGTAATAAATAATTTACTACGTACTTAGAAAGAAACTTGTTTCAACTCAAAATATGACTTGTACTATTGGATGCTCAATAAATGTAAGAAAATATTTTTTGTGCGTGTCTAGAAACAAGCTAGTATTTTTCTTGTATATAGTGATGATTATGAATTAAAATATGAAGCTCAATAATATTCAAAATATATGTTTAATATTCAAATGCACTTCCAAAAAGTCATCCATATGAATCCTTTGGGGACTGGATTTTTTTTGAAGCAAAGAAAAAGTCCATTATAATAATGTTGGAAATTACTAAATGTCCTACGCGTGACTATTTTCGACACTTTTGAAATCCTGATAATTTACTATGTCAACACAGGAAAGTTACTCTACAGGCAATTTGGTGAGTGTGGGTGTACTATGCATATTATGTTCATCACACGCCCACACTCACCCTGATTGTATTTGCTTTTGATTTAACACTAAACAGTGAATATGAAGTTCATCGGCAGTCTCTGATCAGAAAAATGAAATTAAATTATTTCTATTTTTATTTTTATGCTAGACTAAATAACTTTATTAGAAAAAAAATAGAAAATCATAATTATTTTGTTACAAATGCAAGAAATGTTGATCAAACTAGCGAACACATATTGACAAACAAAATATTAAAAATTTAAAGAAATATTTATTTGAATATTATTACTTACCGATGATGTATAGGAATAAAATAAAAATTAGTCAATTGAATAGCAGGCCATGCATTATAACTAGCTTTCATAACAGTTGGAAAATCTTATGATTAAAATTCGGTAAGAAAGTAATTCAAAAAATAAAGATTTAATTTGCTTCATGGAAGCGTTAGAAGATATAGATGAATAAATATATACACAAGATTCTTCTTTACATGTATGTTTGTATATACCATCTTAATTTTTGAAACAACACCCCATATGAAAACGTTGTTGTTGATGAAAACTGTGTTTTATTCGTAATTGTTTGAACTTTTTATTAATACAAAGAATAAGATAAAACTCATCTTTATTTTTATTTACAGAACCAGTAACGATAAATTGATACGTCTGTTCTTAAATTTCTAATAAATAACTTAAAAATATATTATTCATCTCATCTATGAACATAAACTTAACTTCAAGCTATATTTGACTCGCAGCTTATTGTGTTTGATATGCAATATACTGATCATGAAGTTGAATCTCGATTCAGAATAATCGTACTCAAGTTCGTTCAATTATATTGTTTATTAACGCACACAAACGCGATAACCATTCCAACGTGGTTATAAGTGATATAATATTTTCTTTTTTTTCCAACAAAAAATTCGCACGTGTTAATTTGTTCGTTCTCTCTTTTATTTCGTTTGCTTACCTGTGCTCGCAAAACAATCTTTTTTTCTAGCTTGTAAAAATATACACGTATCCTTCTCCCGAACATCATTTATTTTGTTTTGTTGAGTCATCATATGATGTAGTTAGAAGAAGGATTGTGGAGAATGCAAATGATAATATTAGTTGTCCTGAATTTCATTCATTTTTTATATTAATAATATTTTTATTTATTCATCTATTTTACATTTATTTTGTATCACACCATTTAGATAAATACAATATTTTCTTTATTTTTATTCATTCAATATAATCTAACTGAAATCAGTTATTGTCCGAATAATAATTTATTCTTGTGATTGTAAATTTGTTTTTTTATCATGATATATTTCATATAAGTAAGACTTTGTATTGCAATAGTACTATTTTGTTATTTTAGTAGTCTAATATATGATGAGAACTTGGATTGAATGAACATTAACTTTGATTCATTTGAATTAAGAAATTGAAATGAACCAACAGTACAATATCAATTCATATAAGAGAGAAAAATTAATCATGCATATAAAATGCTCTTTTCTAAATCTTTATTTTTATTTTTATGTTTGGATGTATATATGATATTTAAAAACAAAGAAGAATAGAAAATATGGTCTTGAGTAGTCAGTTTAGAGATAACAAAATAAGGATAGAAAAAATGAGAGTTACTCACTCACAAGTCACTTTCGTTTGTTCTGCCATTGATGTACATTATACATACAAAGAAAATGTATATGTATGTATGTTTTCTTTCGTTCTATTGCATTAATACACTAATTCTGTACAATGAATAACGTGCATCACTAATAAAACGAAAATAACAACTATTAAGCGAATATCTGATATTTTTCTTATCTCTAACGGATGAATAAATACTTTTGCTGTAAAATTTTAATTTATTTTAATTCATAATATTTTACGATTTTGGTGACGAACAAATTAATAAATACATCGATAAATGAAGTAACATGAAAAAAAAATGAAATAAGATTGACGAGAGAAGAATGAAGATAGTTTGCATATAATTTTTCTTTTTCTTTTTACAGTACTAATACAAATAATAAGCGATGTAGTGGATATTGATATGAATGTGTTGTAGAATATATACAGAAACATTTATATCTATGTCTTCTAATTACTCATTAAATTTTTTAGATAATTAGGTAACTTTTATGCTCTTCAATTCATTATACATTTCTATGTTCGAAAGAGAAAGCATATTTGATTGTTTATATGAAACTTTTAAAGTATAAATAAAACCGATTGATACTTTCGAAAAAAAACAGTTTTTATTGAAGGTATTGACGGTATCTTATTAGATGCACATGCTTCATTAATGCGAGACAGTCGTCTAATACATGTTTCTTTTCGTTTCTTTCTCTAGAAAACTAAAGGTAGACTTCATTGCGAATATGACAAAAATAATAATTACCTACGCATATTTCTTCATATATTCTTGCTTGTTTTCTTGATACGACGAAAACAGAACGACCAATCCATTACTGATCACTGCAGTAAAAATAAGATACAAAATTTTTATTCGTTGAATTTATTTTTCTTCAGATAGTTACGTTCGTTGCGAATCGTTCCTTATACAATCGAAACATAACATTATAAACGTATCTCTCTACGTAATTACTTCTTCATTTCTTCCTTATTGTTAAGAAAAAATTATCTTTTGGATCAGTGATCACTGCAGATAAAAAATACATAGAAGTGTATATTTCTCATACTTTTATTCAGTTTTGTTGGTAATTTTTTTTATTTGCAACTGGTCTATTCATTCACTCGTATTTTATATCGATCGTCGAATATCATATTCAACAGATAACTACTACTATACTATTTTGATATCGTACACAGTATTTATATGATATATTATCCTATCCTAATCTATTACTGTAATAAAAACTCAGTGATGGATCTAGGATCTTGGAAGTGGGGGGTAATTTTGGCTAAAACTAATTTTTGAGGCCAATCGAAGTAGTGCCAACCTCTTTTTCCGTTTATTTTTGCTGTAAAAAATCAAAAACACTTTTTGAAAGGGAGGCGACCGCTCCACCACTCCTCATATCCGTCACTGACAAAACTCCAATTTATTCAGGGTGTGGGTGTCGGTGTGGGTATGAGTGAGACAGAAATATTCACATCCATACCCTCACCCACACCCAGACTCACCCACACCCTGAAAGATTGAAAGCAGTCTTCTACATTCTCACTATCAGAATATTTATAGCCAACATGGTTGCAGTATGGTATCAACACGATCAAAACGCACCGATCAGAATCAATATCGATTCTGATTCAGATATCGATGGTTTACAACAAGATATTTTTGGTAAAACTGATAAAGGACAGTATCTGGCGACGTACAACGGTCAACCATTAAAACTATCGGCGAAAGTTCCAGCGGATACAACTGATGATAAACCAATAGTGTTTACTAAAATTATTGATTTACCACCTGTAGGTAAGTCAAAAAATGTTATCAGTATTACCATCTTGGGGTGGGTGTGGGTCGAGGTTTACTTCTTTTCTCATACACACCGCGCCCACACCCACACTCTGCTATAGTGTACCATGATCTGATGGAATAGGATTGATTTTACTACCAATCATCTTTGAGCACCACCCTATAAAACCTTTGCAGGGTAAAACTTAACTTTTTTGAGGGTGCCGCTTTTGTCGGAAAACGACCCCTCTTCTTCAGTTTTTTCAAAATGAGAATTATTATTGATCAAAACAACAAAATCGAAGGATTTCTTTTCGATCAAATATTTTTCATTCGAGTTTATCTTCATTTTAACACAAGAAGGAAAACATTTTAATTTCTTCATTTCATTTGAGAAATAAAACATTTTTTCTTTTCAAAATCAAAAGAAAAACTTTAAGTTTCACAGACAAAACAACATATCTTAATCAAAACTTTTCTTTTAAGAAATTTTTTTTTCTTTTAGTTTTAATGTTTTAAAATTCGATTCTTTCGTTGCTTTTCTTTTTCTTTTTCATCGAGAATCAACTTTTTCTCATATTCTTAGAACAAAACAAAACAAAATCTAACAAATTCAAACAAAATGGAATTATTTGTGCGGGGGGAAATCGAGAAGGGAATAAATTAAATCAGCTCTCGCATCCTCATGGGATCTTTATTGATGATCACAACAATATTTTCGTTGCTGATTGTTACAATCATCGTATTGTTGAATGGAAGTGTCATTCGAACAAAGGACAAATCATTGCTGGAGTAAATGGTCAAGGAGACGGAAATTATCAACTGGATAGCCCAACAGATGTCCTCGTTGATAAACAAAATAATTCTTTAATCATTGCTGATAAAGGGAACAGACGAGTAATCCGATGTTTTCGTGAAAATGAAGCAGAACACCAAATTCTCATTTCTGATATCGATTGTTGTGGTCTGTCAATGGATAAAAACGGATTTATTTATATTTCTGATGCTGAGAAAGATGAAGTGAGACGATGGAAAGAAGGCGATGAAAGAGGAACAACTGTTGCAGGCGGAAATGGACAAGGAGATGATCTGAATCAATTCAATGGACCTGGTTTGATCTTTGTTGATAAAGAGGATTCTCTTTATGTACCAGATTATGGAAATCATCGTGTGATGAAATGGACAAAAAATGCAAAAGAAGGAATTGTTGTTGCTGGAGGAAATGGTCAAGGAGATAGTCTCAAACAATTGTCTTGTCCTTGGAGAGTGATTGTTGATGATTTGGGTCAAATCTATGTGGCAGAGCATGAAAACCATCGAGTGATGCGTTGGTGTGAAGGAAATGCAGAAGGTGAAGTTGTTGTTGGTGAAAAAGGTCAAGGAAAAGCATTAAATCAACTGGATTATCCCGTTGGCTTATCATTTGATAGTGAAGAGAATCTTTATGTTGCTGATCGGGGGAATCAACGAATATTAAAATATGAAAAATGTTCTGATTAAACTATTTGGTTTTTGATCAAATGAATTTTGTGAAAACAAAACAAGCGCACTTTGAAATAATAATCAAAAAGAACTTTTGATGAAAAAATAAAAATAACCTGACTTTGTGAAAATTCTTTGAATAATTTCAAAGAAAAAATTATATTTTGAATATTTTCATTTAAAGTAAAATAAAATCTTTTTTCAAACTTTTATTTTCTTCTTTTTTTTCTGCGATTAAATAAATTTGTTTATCAAAATATTTTTCACTCAAAATCGATTTGGCATTTTCATCTTCTTGAGGGTGTGGGTGTGGACGCGATAATTATTGGTAATAGTCACACTTACACCCACACCCCTTTTAATTAGACAAATATAAATACGTCCTTTCTTGAATAAATAAAGATCAAGTCTTCTACGCTTTCTTACAATAATTTAGACAAAAAGAATTGGTTCAGAAATGATACTAAATTCTATGAATATTTCTGTTTTTTTGCTGTAACTTCGATCTCGATTTTAATTTCCGGTTCGATCAGCATCTGCACTTGACACATGGTGACTGCCGGCTGTGCTTTTCCAAGATATTTTTGTATGACCAGCGAACATGACTGAAAATCCATTCGATCCGTCAACATATACCGGATACGGACAATATCCGAACAAGAACTATTGGCTTTCTTCAATATTTCTTCAATATTTCGAAAACTTTGTTCACACTGTTCGATCAAATCTGCCGATATCTTCATAGTATGATAATCGTATCCGGTGCAGCCCGACACAAATATCCAATCGCCATCAACCACTGCCCGTGAATAACAAATATCATTTTCTAGTGATGGACCGGATAATATATGTTGCCTTTTTTCTTCTTTGTCGGTGTCGGCGGTGGGAAACAAATACTTGTCCATGAATTCCGCCAGTTCTCTGTTCTTATTCTCGTGTAAACTCTTTATAACTTGTTTTTGCACATGTTCATCCTTGTTCTGACTTAATTTCATTTTACCTAAACAGACATAACTGATATCATCACAAAAGAATCGACAAATCCTGTAATTCTCTTTTTTTTAATTTAAAGTCTTAAAAACTCAAAGCTAGGCACTCTTTTGTTCAACACTAAATCCCTATGCATGGAGATCGAGAAAATCCATAGTTTTAAACTGCGTCCAGAATGAACAAACTGATTCATACAACACTCGTAATTTATCATCTGAAAATAATATTACGAAAGTTTTTTTTACGAATTTAGGGAATTCTCATTGCATGATTTTTTGTAGAGTAGAATGTTCTCCACAAGATCCACTTGCAAAATTGAAACTCTAACGAGTTTTTTCTTCAAAACTAACCTTCGATTTTTGTTATTTGAATATCGATTTCGACAATGGCTTTTCGTTGCAAAACTAATTTTTCTTCTTTTACTTCTTGTGCGTTCCACATGGCTGTTTGTCCGTTGTCGGATGCGTAGGCCAGTTCATTCTTTGCCACTAGTTCATCCAACATGGCCTGTTCAACTGATTTCAATGTCGGTTTTCCGTACACATGAACAGACGTGTAATTCCATGTTGGAACATCTGTATGTGAAGGAGCATACCTAAACAATCATCCATAAAGAACTTAAATACTATGCAGAGGGTGCGTATACGTAGTATAACAATCTATTAACCAAACCCACACCCATAACATAATTCTACTTAAAAACCTCGGAATTCTAAAAAACCGAATGTAGGTGCCATTTTGTCGAGAATAAAGAAGTAGTTGAAGGAACGCAAACAACACAATTCCTGCGGGATTAAAATGTGAAAGACGATAGAGCCCTCTTTTTTCGATATGTCTATGAGGTATATCACTTTTCTCGCTATATAATTCAACACTCATTAACAATCATGTTTCACAAAAGCTGAGGGTAATGAAAGGCTATCGTTGAAAACGATAGAGTTTTTAACAAAATAGGTGCAGCAGAGCTGCAATATCAATATTCTAGGATTCTCTGGAATGTTTGACCCCACCTCTTTATGAAAAAGTATTCAATTCTTACCATTGTGGTGAAATATATCCATGTGGTCCCTCAAATATGACTAACACTTCGTCGTCTAGTTTCGATTGCGACAGCAATTTACGCAGATGATTGGCCCGGGCTACGTGTGTGATCAATGTACCTTTTTCTTCTGATTGATCCCGTCTCAACAGAAATGGTAGATGGCTGACTGTCGGTTTTTGATCATCAGGGTTCACGTAGATTAGTGTTCCGAAACTGTATTTCTAAATAACGAAGAAAATATGGTTAAAGGACCATACTTGTACTCTTCTCATAATTACCTCGATGAAATCATGCAAATATGACAAACGTGTTTCACGGTTATATTTAACAGTATACGAACGATAATCATCTGATGTTGCGGTGGTACTCATTATTCAGATTTTCGATGCGAATTGTATCAAAGAAAAGATTTAACTTATTTTCTTTTATATGAAAAACGATGTCGGTATTTCTGCACAACACTCACCCCTCCTTTGCCAGCTGATAACACACGTAGTGAGAGATTAGGAAAAAAAACATCATTGGCCTCTCTCTTTTACTCAATGGAATCGTCGTTCCGCAAGAGGCCGTAGCAGTACTTTATTTCTGTTAACGAAAAGACAAGTTTAATCTGAGGATGAGTATTATATATAAGAAATAACTACACTTTAGATTTCGACCTTTCTCAAGAGCTAACTGTTGAGGTAGTATTTATTAGTATGTTTATTGGTGAGGATGATTTTTCGTATGAGATTGTTAAATCAAAAATAGTCATACGAGATGTTTTGACTCTGGCTATGAATCATCCTTTGATTTGTTTAGAGGGTTTTATGACTTTATTAAGTTTATAATAACTTCTAGGTAAGTGCTAACTATTCTGACCAAAAGATGATATTAATCGATGGGGAATCTTAATTTATGATAATTGAAAGTTAGAATAGATTAATTTCCAGTACTGTATTTTAACTAGTATAGCATGGTTTACCTGTTTTGAGCCGTCTATTTTAGTTTGAATGTGTTTTGTGTATTATATGCTGACTCGGATGATTTAAGTTGTTGATGAATCGACGTTGGGACTAGCCGGATGGTTGATCATTAAATATTTTTTTAGTTGTAGGATATGTTGGTTTTGCAGATAGACGTTTTGTGAAGAAAAAATGATGTTGCAATATTGAAGTAGAGGAAGAGATCGTTATTAGAAAATCTAGAATAAAGGTAATATGAAAAGGCATGATTTATACAGTAATTTTATTTGATCTAATTCGATAAAGGAGTGAGAAGAAGTTGGACAAAAAATTAAATTACGTGATTTATATAATATATAGTTCAATGAATATATTAGAATATTTTTGGAGTGTTAGTTAGGTTTTAAGTTATCTGCTGGGATATGTATAGAAAACGGTGAAAAAGAAAGGTAAAGTGATAGCGCTTGTCTGGATCAAAAGAACATTTTTTTACTCTTTTAATAATTTCGTTTTAGCCAAAAACTCATGAATTCAACTTTTTAAAAGTGTCTATTAATTATTTAGATTTGCCATTGATTGAATCTTTCATCGCCGTTAGCGACCATATCAATATACTAATGCATAGCGTCTTCTAATATTATTCAACTTTTGGTCGTTTCATTTAACCAATAATAGAAAATATGATTCAACTAACTTGTCGTTCATACATGATCGTATGAAATAAATAAGCACGGCGGTCGACCAAGAAAGACATGTATACAATCCTTTGTGTGAACTTATCTATAAAAACAGACTATATGCTGTTTATTGTCGTATCCTCTTCAGTTTATAAATTTTTTCGATTTTCGACAATGGCGAATTCAACAGATTCATTAATTGTATACATGTCAGCTATACGTGATGGAAGACATAAAGATGCTGTAAAAGTATGTTCATATAATTCTTTAGAAACGTATTAACCTTTGAAAACATTGTTAGATCGTCACCAACATCATTAACAAAACGATCAAGAAAGAAGATTTAATCGAATGTTTTCGGCTTCGTATTGATGCTGCAAATGAAGATGGAGATTATGATCGTAAGGAAATAAAAAAATAGTTCAGAAAAATATAATCTTAATCAAATTATTTTAGTAGTCGCTCGTGATTGTCAAGAATTGATACAATTAGGTTTTAATTTCGATGAAGATACACACTTATCTTTAATAAAACTGTAAGTGTATAACGTCTGTTATTATTAGTTTATCATGGTTTTTTTTTCTAGTGAAGCGGAGGGTCGGCTCATCCTTCTAAACCTCAGCGAAAAATTCAAGGAAACATCTATAAAATGTAAGCATAAGATAATTAGTTATTGATAACTATTTATATGTTATTTTCAGTGAATAGTGAGATACCAAGAACATGGTCAAATAAATTGGATGGCTTAACAGAGAAACTATTTAAAAAGTATCAAAGAATTTAACATTCTTAATATATATTAATTAATTTTTCTTTTAGAGATGGTGCTACGATATCAAGACAGTCTTCGTTCAAAAGAAAAAAATAAAATTGTTTTTTTTTGTAATATTTGTTAGTGTAAAAACTTGTGTTTTGTTTTACCAAGTTTTTTATTAAATATATAAAATTTCTCCAACGTTTAATTGATGAGAAAAGAATACATTCATTTTGTTATTAGTTTAAAAAAGCTAAACAAACATATATCAAAAAAGATGTTGAATGATTGCTATATTAGATCAATGTTGTACCGACTTTTTTATGGAGATATGCGCAGATCAGTTCACATTACGACCACGATAATGTTCTTTACTAGAATAAAAATAAATGATGCGTGAAGTAGTGTTTATTCATTGATCATTTATGACAAATTTGTTTTTCTCCTCTATATAATCAATTCTTTTTCCCTCATTGATCAACAACAAAAAACAAATAGTTCGATAACATTTTTTCTTTTTTAAGAGAAACAAAATGAAGAAAAGAAGATAATTTCAATTATTTTATCGATTTGAAATAAAATATATAAATTTATTTTATACAAAAGACAAAAAAGTGAAGAAATAATTCTCCCTTTGTCATTGCTTATTTTGATAAAAATTGATTTGTTGTTTTGTTCATTTGTGTTTCATCTAAGTCATCAACATTGAGAAATGTGAGAAAAATATTTAGTTTTTCGATAATATTTTGAGAATATGTTTGATGGTTGTTCTGTTAATGATCAGTCGATAAACGAATAAATACTTTCAATAATTCTTTATTGTTCGTTTATCTGTGAAAATCATCGATTGTTTCTCCATGATTTATTTGAAAATGATTGAAATTTTGAAAAGTTGAAAGAGCTGTTCATATCTATAAGTGTGAAAAATGATTAAATGAAGAGACATATTTTTCATTTCGTTTATTTTTGTTAACTGAGAAGAATTTTTTTTATTTTTTTTCGTTGTAAAATTCAAAATGTTATTGAAAATTCGGAAATGTTAAATTTTTGATAATAAAATGAAAAATGAGTTTGACAAATCGAAGATGTGATCGGTTGTTAATAAGATGGTTTGAAGAAAATCTTGCGATGTTATTCTTCTCATATGTAAAGAAATGTGTATTAAAATATTTGCGAGATATAATCAACAGAGATAAAACTGTTTTCTTTTGTCTTTTAATGTTCTGTTGTAATTGAAATGAGATTATTTCTCTTTTTATTTAAATATAAAGAAAATAGATGAAAAGATATTTCTGTGTAAATAATATTTTCTTTTTCTTTGTGATTATATAAATATATTTTACAATTATTGTGTTTATGTTTTGTTTATTTATGTTAATAATTAAATTTTAGACTCAATTCGATTGAAATTTCATTTACGAAGAACATCTTAATTCTCCCATATTTAAATTTCTTAATCCGAATGATGTTTTTCTATTTAATAATTGAATTATAATGAAATAAAAGGTCAATTTCATGAAGGAAAACATTGATTTGAGTGTGGATATTAGAGGATCTTCTCACCCATATTCTCAAGATTGAAATACCAAATGAAGAATAAAAAATGCAAATAATACTAATAGAAACGACTTAAATTCCTTTTGCAAATAAATAATATATTGTTTCATTGACAGCCTTTAACTTAATGGGAACGTTGATGTATAGAATATTAGAATCATATGAATCAAAAACTAAAGACATCAGAATATAAATCATGTCTATATAACTGACTCTTTCTACATCCATATATATTCTAAAAGTAATAGGAGCACATGATCATACTGATGGATTGAAATGTTTTTCTTCATAATATTAATAAACACCTTATTGTTTCTCTCTTGTTAGACATGTGTAGAAATATTCAATTTAATAAATTCATCTCATAAAATTTGTTTCTAGATAATACTATAAAAAAACAATATTTCCAAGTACAATATTTTTAACAGTAGTTTATTAAATTATCTTCGCATAATTAATCAGCAGCGAAGTAAATCGAATTTGCTTACAGGGATTTTCAGAAAATAAGATTAACAATTGAATTTATAATAAAACATTTCTTATACATGTGAATTCATAGCATTTTTCTCAACAATATCAAAAAGAAAAAATATTTTACTCTTCTGTTATTGAATGTCATGAAAGAACATTGAAACTTGAAAACTGATTAAAATAAAAAAGGAAATGAAATTTATTAATAACTATTAATTAATTATATTTAATAAACATCGACGAATTATCTTCGTTTATTTTTTTAATTAAAAATAAATAAATTCCTAAAGAATTTATTAACATAAACAATTTTTACTTTCTTTTTTTTTTCAATTCTTCATTTATGAGTATTTATCGATGTGTATCTTGAGGGTGTGGATGTTAGTGGCGTAACCAGGATTTTGCCCTAGGGGGAGCTGAGACCCATACTGACAGAGATTTTGCCCTAGAGGGGTTCAGCTTCATATTTTTCAAATAAAGAACGTCTGATAGTCTGAGAGAATCTCAAAATTTCCTAGGGGGAGCTTAAAAGTTTCTAGGGGGAGCTCCGCTCCCCGTAGCTGCCCCGGTGGTTACGCCACTAGTGGATGTGTTTGAGTTTGGGTATGGGTGTGGGCCCGATGAATATTAATAATAACCACATTCACACTCACACCCCATAGTAGAACTGCGATATGATGGATATCGATGTTTTTTTTATGGAAATAATTTTAATAATAACTAACGACGAATAAACATGAAATATTTGAAACTGCTGAAGAAAAGTCCAATGTGTTGTTGATTTAATAAATGTTTTAGATAATAAGATAAGATATTTAATAAACTAATTGTATAATGACTCTTCATTTGTCCTTCAGAAGTCAATACTGGAATTTTTCAAAACCTTTCATTGATATTCAACAAACATTTTCTTTTCTTTTTCATTTTGTGTTTACCATTTGAAAAAAAATCGATATAATTCTCTTCACTTTTAAAATCCAATGAAAATTTCATTCGTGTTACAATTCGATGGGAATCTTTTATTTATCTTCATATTCTCAACATCAATCTTATTCTTCTTCTGTTATTCTCATGAGAATGATATTATATTCTCTACTCATATTGTTTTCTTTTATTAGATGAAAAATAAAATATTTTCAACATAAATTTATTTTTCTTTCATATGAAAACAATAATTCTGTTTTTTTGAAATGTCAATGTATTTTGATCAATTCTTTAAGGAGATTTTTCTCATGTGTTTTATGATTTCCTCTTCGATATACTGCTGACGGTGAAGAATGAGATAGCTCTTAAAAGTGTGTCCATTTTTCATGTGTTTATTGATGATGTTCACATCCACATCTACCAAATCCTCGGAATACTTTGTTTATACTTTCGATTTTACTTCGAAAACATTTCGTATTTTGACAAGTGTAAAGTGTTACTCTTCTACTATTTATTATTTTGACAAAGATAAAGAATTTATCGTGAGAGGATGAATATTTTCATAGACTCACATCCATATCCTTCGTATTTCGTCTTGACGACGAACTTTTTCTGATACAATCGAATCACAAATAAATTGATTAGAATATTCAACATGTACAATTTCATGTGAATGACATCCAATGTTTATTTTCTCATCTATCAAATGGTAAACATCATCAAACTTAAATCGAGAAGTTCATCTGAACTCTATACTAGTTGTTGTTTTGTTGGCGATGAATGGTGAAGCAATAGGATGTGTGCATGAAGATATATTGATCAATGTAACACATTCAGATTGAATAAAGCTCTTTCTCTCTCGAATACTTTGATAGAAATAATTTTTTACATATTTTCTTGTTGTTTAGACGAAAAAAATCTTTCAAAATTTCTTGTTATTTATATGCCGATGTTTATTTATTTAATTATTTATTTGAAAAATATAATCTTTGTTCTAAACATTGTTTTTCTCTGAATAGTAAAAAAAAACAATTTTCGTATTGTTTTGATGAAAATAGAGATTTTATATTATTTCTATTACAATGAAATGATTGTTTGATACTGTTTTAAACAACAACTTGTCTTGATGATCTGAGAGATACAATTAGTAATCAAATTCATGAAGATCAACTTTCAGAAGAAAACTATTACAATTTCTTAAACGATATTTAGAAATAAATTTCATTGATGTTGAAGCAAATGCTGATGAATATACTATTTTTATAGTTGATTTTGATAGATATGCCAGAGAAATCGAATCCATAAAGCTATATAAATGAAAAAATCTTGATAATAATGTTACATTGATTGACAATACTATTTTCAATGTCTCATGTTATTATTTTTAAATGAAATCTATCTCAAATTATGTTGATTCTCAATTAATTATTATCATCTGTTTTGGAAATTATTCAATTGATAAAGATAAATATCTTTTCAAGACGATAATATTCTTTTTCTCATATGTACAAAGAAGAATATTTAATGGTCTCGAATGTATTTATATCAGATGGATTATAAAATATTTCTCATTTCAATAGAATGAGACATAACCAGAAAACATATTATGAACAATATTTGAGATAGAATTTACGTTTTTGCTTTTCCATGAAATATCGATATCTTGTAACTGTAAACATCTAAAAAACATATTTTCACCTCATACTCATCTCATATTTACTGAATGAAGATGAATCCAAGTGAAACTTATTAATTGTCATTAAATGATTCACTTCTCATAAGAAATCGACATTTGATGAAATGGTAATGGATCACTAAAATTAACAATAAATGATTAAAGATAAGAAAATATATTCATTATTAATCAATAATTTTACTATATTCTATGTCGAGAGGCCGAATGAGTGTGGGTTTGGCGATAAATCAAGATCTTTTTCACCCACACTCATATCCTATTTTAATCTTTTACTATTGATTAAATTCATTTTTTAATTTTCTTTTTAATTTTTAATTTTTAATTTCTATTCAATCCGTAATCATCTGTACATTCTTATTTTCTTTTTGTAATATTTGAAACAGGTCCAACTGAAATTTAAAATTTATCACTTAATCATCGATAAGGAAGTCCGTTATCTTTCTCTTTTATAAGGTTTATTTTTCTTCTAAACAAAGTTCACGGTGAGTTGCCATATTTAGTAATTTAACATTAACATACAACAGGTAATTCAACTGTGTACCGATGAAAATCTTGTTGCGAGATTAGATCGCTTTTTTTCCTGTTTCTGTTTCTCTATGTGAATCACAAAAATTGCCAATGAAATACATCGTGTTAATTTAAAGTTTAATGGCGTCCTCTATAATCATATTTACATTATATGGGAGGCAAATTATACAGTCCAGGCCATATAAAGTATGTATTCACGTTCAGAATCGCGAGTGATTCGCTAAAGAGACAGTCAAACCAGCAAAAATCGCTAGAGAGGATCAGAGAGTGTTCAGTAACAGAGGTTTTACTGTATTTCGTATCTTTAAAACAAATACAGCTGATGAAAGTTAGAAAATGAATTTGATTTATTTATCTGTCGATTTCTTATAGTTGAATATACATGTCAAATTGATGATGAACAAGATATTAAAACCATTGATTCACTTTATGTCGAAGATAATCCAATATGGAAAAATTGAAATAATATTTAGAATATTTTTCTAGAATCACAATGGCGTTTTGAAACAAAACTACCTGCAACAATAGAAGCTGATGAAAATGATAAAATTGAACTTGAATATAGTGTTTAAGATGAAGAAAATCTCCAATGGGTGAGGGTGGTTCGAATATTGAAAGATATATTGTTAAAAACCAAGATCTTGGACGTGATACTTGTGCACCAGCTGGTGAAGTTAATATTGATAGTACATCATTACGTGTAACAAAATTAGCACCAGGAAAAAAATATTTATTTCGTGTACGTGCTGTTAATAAAGAAGGTGAAGGTGAACCATTAAAAACAACTACTACAACATTAGCGAAAATCCATACGATGAACCAAGTTCATCTAGTCAAACAGAGATATCTGATTGCGATAAAGATCGTGTTGATCTTGAATGGCAAGCACCGGTAATTAAAATGAGAAAAATAATTCAAATTAATATTATTGCTCTTTTTGTTTCATAGGATAAAGATGGTGGTGCATCCGTTGAAAAATATATTATTGAACATCAAGAAAAAGGATGTGATCAATGAGTTAGCGTCTCACCATATATGTCAGTTGATAATAATGCTACAATAACTGATTTACTCGAAAATAGTGAAGTTGCATTTTGTGTTAAAGCAGTTAATAAAGCTGGTGAAAGTGAACCAAGTTCAACGACTGGTTGAGTTAAAATAGCTGAATATCCAAGTAATATAAATTTTTTTTTAAATTAAAATATTTACATGATATATTTAGACGGACGAGCACCAACATTTGTTAAAAAATCAAGAGATACAAGTGCACCTCTTAATGATGAAGCGATATTTACAATTTGATTTGAATGTAATTCAGTACCTGAAGTTAAATGGTGTCGTAATGGTTTAGAATTATCACCATCTGGTCGTTGTCGTATTGCTACAAAACTAAATGAATTAAAATCTACCTTAATATTCAATGAAGCTTGGGATAGTGGTAATAATTCAAAGATTTCATGTTAAAAGTATGTTTTGACAGAATTTGAATGCATTGCTATTTAATTTTGTCTCTTGCCTTTTTTTAGTGCCAGCTAAACTTACACGTGAACCAGAAGAACAACGTATTCCTTTGGGTGAAACATTAAAAGTTAAAATTCCTATTAGTGGTAAAGATCCATTTACATTTCAAGTTAAAAAAGGATAATCACCCATTAGCTGATGATGATCGTGTACGTATTCAAGAATTTGATGATTTTATTGTTGTTACAATACCTGGTTTTTATTCTATTAAATTTGTTTTTTTTCTTCTCTAAATTTTTTATTTAATCTTATTCAGATACTGAACGAGAAGATGCTGGTAAATATGCAATTAATGTTGCAAATGATTCAGGATCATGTAATGTTCCTTTGAAAGTTAAAATCATTGGTATGATTAAAAACTATCATACAACTTCAGATTAAAGTTTTTTTTTACTATAACACCACCACTTCCTCCAACTGGTCCACTTGAAATATCAAATGTATCGAAAGATCGTGCAACACTATCATGGAAACCACCAAAAGATGATGGTGGTAGTAAAGTAACTGATTATGTTATTGAACGACGTGATACATCAAAAGGAGCCGATGCTTGAATACCAGTTACACAAGCATGTAAATAAACAACATTTACTGTTCCATCATTACTTGATGGGCATGAATATGATTTTCGTGTTGTGGTTATTAATGAAAATGGTACTAGTGAACCATTACGTTCAGTAGCACCAAATACTGCTAAGCTTCTATTTAGTGTGTTAAATATGATTAGTTTTATTTTTTCTAAAAATTTTTGTTTCTTAATTTTAAATAGAACCACCTGGTTCACTAGGACAACCAGATATCACTGGAATGACAAATAATACTGTAACACTTAATTGGGAAAAAGTAACTTCTGATGATGGTGGTCCTATAACTGGTTATTGGATTGAAAAACGTGAAGAAAATACTGACAAAGGGATATCAGTAAATAAATCACCATGTCAATCAGCACATTTTACAGTACCATCATTAGTAGAAGATCATATTTATGAATTTCGTGTTACAGCAGAAAATGAAGCTGACAAAGAAACACCATCTGATGCAACTAAACCAACTAAAGTATATAGAAATGAAGCTTTTCAATATTTCTAAATAAGATTTTTATTTTATTAGGTTAAAGATCCAAATGCATCTACACCACCAGAATTTGTTAAAAAATTAAAAGATGCTGAAGGTAATGAAGGTAAAACAATTACATTGGAATGTGAAGTTATTGGAACACCTAAACCTGATGTTGAATGATTTGTTTCTGTTTTTTTTCGTTAATTAGTTATATCAAACTATTTCTTTATAATAAATAATTAAGTTCAAAGGTACAAAAGAAATTTCTCAGGGTGCTAAACACACTATAACACGTGATGGTGATAAATGTGTTTTGGTTATTAATAATGCTACACCAGATGATGTTGATGAATATAGTATTAAAGTACGTAATAGATGTGGTTTAAGAATGTACCGTTGTAATGTTAATGTTCGATGTAAGTTTTAGTCTATAAATAAAAATAAATTTTTTAGTATATATACATATATATTTTTCTAGCACCACGAAGATTTCGTTTACCACCAAAATATCAAGATGTTCTTAATTATGATAAAGGTGAACCAATTGTTATAAAAATTCCTTATACTGATAATCCATTACCTAATGTAATGTTATCAAAAGATGGAAATGATATAATGAGAGATAAAAATGGTTCAATTGATGTTAGTAATCGAGCTATTACATTAACTATTCGAAATGGAGATAAGAATACAACTGGTTGTCAACCAGAACGAGCTACACTTAAACATGGAGGTGTCTATGATTATTATGATACTGTTGAAGAGATTGGACAATAAATAAGGGTGGATGGATGGGTATGAATGTAAATGTATAAATAAGAATAAGTCATTCTCATCCAAACCCATCCTAATTATTATGAATTAAATAATATTAATCAGCTTTTGAGAATCAATTAATATTACTTGATTAATGACAAATAATTAATAATGCTTGTCACGGTCTGAGGGAGAAGGTCGGAGGATGGGTAGGATTTCTGCCCTTAAACATGTCAACGCTCCTTTTGATGCGTGTTTCAGAAAAACTTTTTATCATTATACAACATTATGTGTATAAAATTAAGTAGGATTATTCTAGATTTTTTTCTGAACGTTACGATTTACAAGGAAATTCATTTTTGCAAAGATATATTGAGTACAAAACTAAATTGAAGTAATTCGAATCCAAAATAGAATCGAATTTCGATGAACAAACATTTGGTCTTCCTATAACTTTTGATGATATAGTTATATTTAAGCTTTCTATTCAATTTATTTGTTTATATTTCAGATAAAATACGATTACCGATTTTTTAATCGTTCTGGTGATCATTATCTGGTGAATATATTATTTTCGTAAGTATAAATATTAAGATAACTGAGAGAATAGAAAAAGAATAACAAAAGAAAAAAATTATTGAAAAGAACCGTTCTTTTTGATTCTCCCATCTCATTTAAGATATTTTGTCACTTGAAAGTCACTATCTTTAAAATATTTAAGTTGTAGGTCTGTGATGTGATTTAAGAGACGATAGGTATTCACAGTCCACCCACACCCACATTGTAGACCAAGAATTCATAGGATTTTGAAACGTAACATTCACCAGAAATCCTTTAATCCGAGTTTTTTGTTTGAAACACGTGAAAAAGAATGTCTGCAAGGTGATTACTAGCAATGATTTTTAGTTGAAAATAAGACTATTGCATATTATTAAATTCGTTTTATCTCATTAGCGGCACAAACATGAAGATTCACGTCATAACGTACACCGGACTCGGTCAAGAATATGATATTGAAGTCGAGCCTTCCGTCATGATTCAAGAACTGAAGAAATCTGCGAATGAAAAAGCTGGTTATTCTGATCCAGAAATGCTGTGGCTTGTCTTTGATAAAGAAATACTGTACGATGAAGCTACATTAGAAGATTACGACATACAAGCAGATTCGACACTGGAATTACTCGATCGTACAGAACGTTACCGCAATCTTAATGGTTTAATTGGGTTAAAATTCGTCGATGTCAGTGATAACCAAGCTTTGAAACGAATCGGATGGTCTACAACAGCTCCACGATGGCGACGAGCTAGACATGGTCTATGTCTTGAAGGTTTATGTACAAACAATACGTGCGAAGCTTATAATTCTACAGTTATTATGCCCGTTGGTTATAAGAAAGTCGATATGTTGGACGATTCACTTGATAAAATAACCAAATGTCCCGTATGTAAAGAACATGTCACTCCAATAACATGTGGTTTCAATAATTGTTGGTGGAAATACGACGGGGTGCAAAGTTGCAGAAATGGTCCGTCAAAGCAATGTCCAGGTGATTGGAGACAAGCTGATGATGCATATTATCGTTTTAATGAATATCAAGATGAAACAATTACATGGAAAAAATTAACATTGCAAGCGGCTAAAGCAGGACCAGCTGAAATATTGGACAAAACATCGGAGAATTCATCGAAAACTGCATTGGATATTGTACCGACGAATGTACAAACAATGCAAACAGTCTTTCGACCACCAGCAGGTCAGTCTGAATATTCTTATCTCAGTTAAAGAGCAATAACCATATGTGTCATTATTATCATGTCGCTTTAGCTTATCGTTCGTTGAGGCCAACTAATGCTCGGATTAACTTTTTCTATATTCGTCAGTCGTGTGATACGTGGAACGAGTGTTGTTCGCTGCGTTCACATCATTCTCACCTTGGACGTCTTCTTCGAGAGTAATGTGTATGTAGGCGTGGATGTGAGTGTGATTGATTGTTCTTTGAATACCCACACTCACTTACAACTACAACCACATTCACGCTCTCAAAATGATTTTTTTACTTATATGAAAGATATTATCTTATTGTTTTTGCTTCTAGTCGATATTGCAGCTATACCACCAAAAAATGATCGTTATCCGGCCGCAAATGATGAAGCTGATGTCGAGCAGTTTGCGCAACCAGACAAGCATTGGTGTCCGTGGAAATCAGGTAGTTGTTCGAATACTTTTAAAATTAAAGGTCAAGGTACTGTGGAAATTATGCAACGGAGATCAGTGCCTTTCGAACTACAATTATCGAATAAAAAAGATGCTTATGACCGAAGTGCCTATTCAATCACACTTTCAGTGAATCAAAATGAAGTTAAATTAAGTACAAGCACTGGCCAGTCATGTACTTCAACTAACACCATTTATACACTTCAACCTGAAGGTGAATATTGGCATAGATATTGGATTAGTCTATTTTCAACTGCTCGCAATGTTAAATATGGCATTGGAGAAGTTCGTCCATCCTTTTCTGTTTTCAATATTGAACTTCCAGAAAATGAATTACAATTGATCAAAGAAATCTATTATTTGCATTTTAAAGTGAATAACAATGATCAAATGCTGACGGAATTAAATAATCTAAAAGAAGACTTTCGTATTTTCATTGGAGGATGTCCTGTTTTACATGAACTGGCATTATTTATTATCCCGCAAGAAAAATATACTCTTGAACATACAACTTGTCATACTGCTATTTCAGAATTGAAATTAGAAAGACCACTTCGTGATTTATATTATAGTGTTATCAATTTCAAATTAAACACAGATGATTTTCCAGATTTAACGGATGTCATTGCACGTAGCATAAAAAATCGGAAAGGTTGGTGTTACAAGAAATTAAAGGAGAAAGCAGAGCGTTTTGGCCAACCAAATCCAAAGGCAACTTATTTACGTCTTACTGTAGGTGAACAAAAAGGAGACGCACCAGGCCACAATTATGTCGTCGAAGTTTGGCCTCCTGGGCATAATAGTCCGATTCACAATCATAGTAATGCATATGCTATTATTCGAGTACTTTCCGGTGAAATTTTGGTGAGACTCTATCCAGCATTAACATTAAATGTAAATCAATATAAACCTATTGAACAAATTTGTCACGAAGGAAGAGTGACATGGCTGTCACCAAATCTAAATCAAACACATCAATTGAAGCATGTTGATTTGTATGGCAAACCTTGTATTACTATTCAATGCTATATGTATGGAAGAGATGATCGAGTACACTATGAATATTTTGATTATCTATCCAATGATGAACACTCCATTGGTCATTTTGATCCAAAATCTGATATGGATTTTTATGAATTTAAAGAGCAAATGCGACAAGAAAAACAAAATATATTTCAAAACTAACTATAATATAAACTATGACTCAACAGTTTTAATGAACATTTAATCTTGTAACCTGCATTTTTTTATTAAATTCCGTTCTATATTATAAGATTTTTACTTGTATCATGCAAAAGCACTAAAAGTTTTAAAGTCGTCTTCTAATACGAGGGAAAGTTTATTTGAAATTAAAGTTTTTTTTTCTTGATACCAACCTTCTAGTTAAATTTTAGACAACAGAAATACAGTGAACATCGCTAATCATCTTTTCTCAAAATGAATGGATGACATCGATGGTTGCACTCTCACGAATTTATGGTGGGTATGTTTGAGTATTGATATGGACATCAACGTGGGTAGGTGTGACTGGGTTGTGAGTTTCAGCGTGGGTAGGTGGGTGTAGAATGGATGTGGGTATTGCTTCTACACTGAAGCCATAGCCACACCCACCCACTTCTAAATCCCCATCGAGTTGGAGCTCTAATGCTTTTCTTTTCATATAAGACTTAAACTAAATAATTATAATAGAAGAAAATAGTGAATATAAATATATGGATGAACAATCTGTCGGATGGATGTGGTCAAGTAAAAGATGAATTCACACCCACATCCATGCTCACCCACCCTGAAATATCTCACCTATATTTTCAGATTATCATTATTCTTAATGGCTACCTCAGTAATATCTGGCCCACAACGTAAATTAGCACTTGTAATTGGTATTAGTAATTATGTCTATGGAAGCAATTTACCTAATGCAATAAATGATGCAAAAGCAATATCATCTGCATTGAAAAGTATTGGATTTATTCTTTATGAAAATGGTCCAAAATTAAATGCAACATGCAACGAAATACGTCATGCTTTGATTGATTTTATAGGTTCAATAAAAAAAGGAGATATGGTTTTATTTTACTATGCTGGACATGGAATACAATGGAAGGTATAAAGATTAAAGAGAATATTTCGAGATATAGTAGTTTTTTCTTTTAACATAAATTAGGATAAAAACTATTTAATTCCATCCGATAATTATAAAGAAGAGACCAAAGATAATATTGTAGAGAAAGTTAAACTTAGTGGCTCTGACTTACAAATACATGCGATTAATGCACAAGAGGTTCATAATAATATATATGATCGACATCCATTTGTTACAATGTTGTTCTTGGATTGTTGTCGAACATATGATTTACCTGATCAACAATCACAACAAAATGGTAGAGGCGAACCAATAAATCATTCACAAGGTCTTAAACCGATGTCAGCGAAAGCTGGATCATTAATTGTATTTGCTTGTGCACCTGGAACTGTAGCAGATGATGGAAAAGCAGGAGAAACAAATGGTTTATTTACAAAACATCTTCTCGAACACATTAAAACTCCTAATAAAGATGTTCAAAAAATATTAGCTAATGTTACTAAAGGAGTTATACAAGAATCAAAATCAAAACAACTTCCACATGTTACTTCGATTTTAACAGAAACAGATATTTTTTTATACGATCACATTTCAGGTAAATAACAAACTTTTAAAGAGAATTAAAACGCGGAAAGGACTATATTGCTTTATTGGTACTGCATAGAGTAAAGACTGATTTATACTAGAAAAATATCTGTATAATTATGGTTCAATGTAGAAATATTCAACTTTCGAGAAGATTGACAAATCGTTTATTTGAATAAATCTATAGTGACAAGTGATCATTTGTGATTATCTTATAATAATCACGGACAATAGATATTGATGAAATAACCGTCAATTATATAATATAAAAATCATTGAAAGGAGTTCTTATTCACAACGATTTTGCAGAACGATGAGATTTGGAAAACTGAAGTACAGTATAACTCATAAATAAGGGAACATTGAGTTCTTTTCAAGTTCTTTTTAACAGATTAATAGGTTGATCGTACATTTGAGATATGTATATATTATGAAAGTTCGAAGAGAAACAGTCTATGATCAACACAGGTCAAAATATCTTGTTAACGGTGATAAACAAAGTTTAGATTTTTCGAAAAACGAATTAAGCCGAGATCAAATAGGATCGAACCGATACTGATGTCAGGTTGGAAACTTATGAGTCGAACTGTAGTTATCTCTTCTTATTAAAAGTGTGTTCTAGACATCTTCGAGTACTATATTGTATTTTACGGATGTTGAGCACTTAGTTATAAAATAGTTTCAAGAGTTTAATCTACTAGTTTATTACATGAGCCGTTCAAAAAATATCGAGACTGATGTTATTTAAAAACAATAAGTAGCACTGCACTTTTTTATATTATTGTCTATTTGTAGTTCGTTCAGTTCTCTCTATTTATTGACATCATAAATTTTATTGGATAAAACAGATATATGGAAATACATAAATACATTTAAGACTGATCTTTATATATTAATAAAGATAAAAACCTCAGGAAAGTTTTAAGTTTCGAAAGGCTATTTGCCATACAATATTCTTGAAAATATGGTGATAGTTTACAGCGGTAATGCACTATCACATACAACGATATTTTAATGAGCTCATCATTTCAAAGGCGAATAACTAATTATCAATTGTAGTTTCGCATATGGTCGATACATCATTCACATTATGTTAGAGAATGTCACATTTCCATGAGGTGACTTTAGACAAATATAAGAGCGTGAGTGTCAAAAGATATAACTATCCACATCTACACCTTCGTTCATACTGTGTAATTTACCCCATTCATTTGAAGTGAACGAGAATAAGCAAAAAAAGAGAAGCTTAATGAAAATTAGGCACACATCAAAGTATATATATGTCGCGTCAAAGTTCATTTCAGAAATGTAACTATAATATTTGCTTATTGTACTCTTGATATATGTGTTTTCCATTCTTTCTGCTTTACTGGTTTCTTCTTTAACATGGCACATATGCTTGGATTTTTCCTTAATTTTTCTATACATCGTCTTATCATATGTAATACATACTACGTATTCGTCTTTTGGAATTTATCCCAACCGCTGTATCTTAATAACTCGGTGGATATTTTCCAAAGATGTGTGATCTGGTTTTGTATATTAGTCTGCGATTGCATTTATATAAAATATATATTTTGTGTTCACTTACGATTCATTACCAATATACGATCAATATCATGACTGCATCAATATCATCATCCTTGATAATAAATACAAATGATAATCGTCAGTGGAAAACGCAATTCAACACAAAAGTTATGAAGCTCAAGAACGATTCGCCGAACAATAGACTTCACATAGGATCGTTATCAATAAACTGTCGAGATAACTACGAGTGCGAAACCAAAGCGATTTCCTGAACGAAGCGAACATGAAGTATCATCACTAAAAAAGACATAAGTGAAGCGTACGATATGCAAATATTATAATTTCACTCCTCAGAAAAAAACTTCCATGATCTGTCTTCTCGAAGTTACTACTTCATCAAACTGGGTAATTTTGATACAACATATATATATATATATATATATATTGGGAGAATTGATGGGAAACAAGAAAACTTGATCGTATACAGCCGACTCAAGTAGCCTGATAATATGCGAATGATTAACGAGCCAAAATCATATGTATGCGGCTTAGAAATGCATGTTTTACTCAAAAGAATAAATGAAAGAAAATGAAATATCATAGCTGATGGCCACGACACAAAGCCACATCCACACCCTATGATCATTGAATAAGATCATCATGTTTTTTCTTCATTCAGATTCTGATCAATCAGCTCATCCTGCAACCACTGCATCGGCTGTGCCGAAAAATGCAACGACGTCAAATCAACCAAGCTTAAAACTCCAACCTCAACCAATAGCAGGTATGTCTGGTTAAATAAGAGACCGGTCTTTCGTAATACTATGACTCTACCACCTAGCTAATTTAAATCTTGTTCTTTGACGGATTCTTAAACATGTGAGTGTGATTGTACGAGTAAGTTAGAAAAGATATTGCCACATTCAGACCAACACCCTCTTTATTCATTATTAGATCTTTTTCTGATTTTAGTTCAGATTATCGATATCAA